TTAGCTGGGAATTCTTATCTAAAGCAACAGGTAGCTTTCAACTACAAAGAGTTTCTCATCTATATGCTGTTGACCATGAAAAACTGCTAATGAAACATCCTGTGTTGTCTCTTGAGCTAACAAGATCATCTTCCTTTCCCATATAAGATCATAGGCTCACCCTCTATTGTTGTAATGTATAGATAGTCCATATATTAACTGTGTCTTTACTTAGCAAGACAAGATTTCTATCTAGGTCTTTGCAACCAGCAATGTTATTGCCCTGGCCTGGGACTGAAGTTATCAAACATCCTTCCCAGTAATCACGATCTACGAAGAAGATACAACAGACAAATGGACTTCCTCATCCTGAGAACTGTGATTGATTTTACCTGATCTGACAAGACAAACAGCATGTCTTATAATTATTGCTTCCATGCTTTGTATACCCTGTTCCTTAAATTTTTTACTACCCCTCACCCTCCTTACTTCCTAAACCTCCCTCAATAAATACGCATGTTTTAATAACCATGGTGTGGCGGTCTGGAGCTGGCTCTGGCTGTGGCCGGCTGAGAACATGCTAAGGAGCAATGAGGTCTCAGTCTAATTTTTTGTTCCTGATCACCCGTGTCGCCTTCCTGTGTACGAGCCACCCACCATTGCTGAGGCCAGACCCCGGCAGATGGCCATGCTACAATCCCTTCTCCTCTTCTTGGGACTTTGAGCTTGCACGCTACACACGCCCAGTGTGAGTTTTAAGCTGCCGGCTTCAGAATTTGAACTGTGGTCGACTATGTGGGAGTCCAGCAACATAACCATTATGCCATCTGCTGTTCCCACTTGTCACAAACTTCTAAAATAACTAATTTTTTGCTGTATATAAATACATTTCAAATGTAAAGGTTGGGAAAACTCAAAGCTAGATGTCAAAACATAATCAAGGGCATTATTTGGTAAAATACAGATATTTTAAAAAAGCATAACCAGTGAAACAGTTTATAATAATAATAATATAACATTATAAACACAATCACAAGAATTTCATATTTAAATTCTCACCTTTGAGAGACTTTACACCATCTAACACTCTGTTCTGAAACACCTGTCCAGTACCTACAAGAAAAGGCAAAATCATGTTAGAGTGAAAATTATATGGACACTCACTAAGGAGTGTTTTGTATTTCACAATTCTAGGAACTTCTTTATGTTTTTTCCCAAAAATATAATTTTGTATGAAAATTAAAACGAAGGTTAGAATAGCAAATTTTTTAAGTGATAATTTTCTATAATCTTTAATCAGTTTTTGTGAATTTGGATTATGCTGAAGCATCAACAGCAACATCACTACCACTGCCACCACTGCTGATACATCATCATCATCATTATCATCATCATGGCTTCATGTTTGTTTACCCACTGAAACTTATGATCTAATTTAATATCCAATGAGGCAGAGTTGGGAGGTGAGACATAGTAGGAGGTGTTTAGGAATAGGGACAGCTTCTTCATGAACAGATGAAAGGTGTCTGAATTCTCACTGATTAGTTCCTCCCAGAGCAGGCTGTTACAAAAGCAAGTTGACCTCCCATGGTTCTCTCTCTCTTTGCTCATGCCTACTTTCTTTGACCATGTTGTAATGTTGCAGAGGCTAGTTAGATGCTGGGTACATGCACTTAAACTTTTCAGTCACCAAAATCATGAGCCAAATAAACCTTTTTTCTTTATAAATCTCCCAGTCTTGGGTATTCTGTTATATTCTACTTGAGATGAAGACAATCACCTTTATAACTACTGGTTCATTGGAAAAGTCTTGGTGCATTTTTGTATATAAAAACATAAAGTATGTCAATACTTTTCCAATGACCCAATATAACAACAGTACATTAGCTTTTCTTTATTGAGGTTCCTGCCAAGCATTTTTCAATGTACTTTATCTCATTTGATTTCTCCCCACTTTATTTATTTATTTATTTATTTAATTTATTTTTTTTGGAGATGTTTTTGCTATAGGGTGTTTGTGCTCACCAGAAAGACAAAGAGAGATAGAGAGACAGAAAGCGAGAAATTAGCCTCTGGGGGGATGGCCAAGCAGCAATTCTTTCTCCTCCATTCTCCTCTAGGGATCTTGGGCTCCCACGCATATGCCCCCAGCGTGAGTTTAAGCCACCAGGTCTGGGATTTGAACTCCTGTTGACTACATGGGAGTCCAGCAACATAGCCATTATGCTATCTGCTGGTCCCAATTTTACCCCACTTTAAAACAAGGGAATTGAGGGATAAGCAGATGAAATAATGGCTACATTGTTGGACTCCCACATGTCTGACCAAGGTTTGAATGTTGGACCTGGAGGCATGAAACTCATGCCGGGCATATGTGCATGCATGCCCAAAACCCTAAGAAGAGAATGGAGGAGAAGGGATTGTGGTATAACCATCCCCCTGGGGGGCTGATTTCTTGTTTCTGTCTCTGTTGCTCTCTGTCTCTCTGGTGAGCACACGCACCCTATACAAAAACTATCTCTTAAAAAATAATGAGGAAATTAAGGCAGAGAGTGGTTAAAAAGTAACTTGTTTAAGGTATCACAGCTGATAAGTAGTGGAGACAGGATTTGAGTCTGTGGACTCAGATTTAAAACATTCTTCTCTTAGGATAGAGAAAGATAGCAAGTGAACAATAGAGAGACGGGAAATGCATGGAAAAGACATTGAATGTTGAATTGGGGAGATTAATGTCTCTGTACTGACTGACATGCATGGCATTCCCTTTTGAAAAAACAATGTAATACACTGTAAAGTTATATGTAATCCAATGTAATATAAAGAAGATTATGATGATAATAAAAATAAATAAATAAATAAATAAAAAAAAGAAAGTGCAAATTAAAACCACAAAGAAATATTATATATATATATTTTAAATAAATATATGTTATTTGTGTTAACAAATAAGGGGTTTATTGTTGGTTTTTTAAATTAATAAATATTTTAAACGTTTTCTTACATAATTCATAAACCATCAAATATTGATACAGATAATCTCATAAACAAAACTTTGTTCTCTTCAATAAATTCTAAGTAAACAGCTAAAAAAAAAAATTCTTCTCTTAACCTTGTCACTCTATTGTTGTTTCTCTTTTTTTCTTTGACTTTTTCTTTCCCTTTCCTTCTAATTGTCTTTTACTCTTCCTGTTTGCCTTTCTTCCCCTAATTATAATTAGGCCTTATAATTAGGATAAGTAATATTAACTTGTTTTATTCATAACTTGGTAATGATTTGATTATTTAAAAAAGGAAAATTTAATTAAATTACATGGTTTCTACATAACCTCAGACTTTTTTTTTTCTAATAAAGTTCAGGCATTTATATAGAAAATTTCATAGGAAAGTTTTATAACTTCTCAAAAAATCCACAAAATTAGGCTCCCTATAAGGCCTAAGTGATAGCTATATGGCTCACCATCCATTGGCAGGGTTTTCTTCAGCTCTGAGTATTCTTGATCTGTCAGCTCAATCCCCATGTTTCTAAGAAGACTTTGAAGGTCTCCAACATCAACTTTTTTTCCTTTGAAAAGATGAGAATACAGACAGTTGAGAATTTTAAAACTCACCTTTATTTCAAATAAGTCAACAGTCATGCCTATAAAGAATCATCCACATTTGACAGTAAGAAGGGAAGAATGAAATAAGTCTACATATGTAGAGTCAATGGAGAAATCATATGGAGAAGATATTTCTCTAATTTAATGAAGAGGAAGCTCTTCTAAATCTAAGAACAAGAGATACTCAATTTTGGTGATATTACTGACCAGGTACTAGAACATAGGTGGTTAATCTAAAACATTCACATTGTTTTGAAGTAACTTTTGATCTGAATTATCTTATTAGGTGTTCACAGTGATAAGAATAGTGATTTTACCTATTTACTGTACCTATCTGAATTTTGGGCAAAAAAAAAAAAAAGGTTCTGTAGTAAAGTGTATTATTAGAAAAGAAATTATTACAGAGTAGAATGACATGATAGCAAGACAGAGCCCATTGATGAGTTTTTAAAACCTAAATTATCTAATGGCAGAGTGTAGTAGATACAAATATTTAAACAATAATAGTTTAAAACTCCTTGTGTTTTTTTTTTTTTTTTTTTTTTTTTTTTTTAAAAAAAAAGGGAGCCTGCCTCTCCAAGAGACACTCAAGGGAGCATGCGCTTGCCAGAGACACTCCCCAGGTGTATGGCTACACCACAATTCCTTCTCTTTCATTCTCCTCTTGGGATTATGGGCATGCACACACATGTGCCCAGCATGTCCTTGAGGCTGCCAGGTCTAGGACTCGAACTGTGGAGTCAGCCATGTGAAATCCAGTGCCTCAACCACCACGTCATCTATTGCCCCAAAACTTTATTCTTTCTAAAGTCAGTGATTGGGGAGTTAAAAATGTGTTCAAAACAGTATAGTGTGAAGCTTAAGAATGTCAGTTTCATAGTAACTTTTTACTCACCTGAAAAATTTTTCACTTCATCCATCACGTTTTTAAGAGTGACTTGCCCATCAGCTGAAAGTAAGGCATAAATTACAGATGTAGATACTAAGAGATATGAAATATCAATGGAATATACTAACTTCCTATGATTTGCTCTAGAAAAATTTAAAATAAATTTACTTGATGAAAAAAACAACCAAACAAAAACTCTTTCAAGATCATGGAAAAGAAAGGGTAATCCTAAATGTTAAAATGACTATAATAACAATGTTTCTTTGACTTTCTATCTTCTAAGCCACTAAGTCACATATGTGCCAGAAAAAGCTGAATTTCAAACTGCTCTTTCTGTGGAATTGGCTTTCTCACTTGAATACTTTGGAGATAATTAACTCTTTTTTGTTTGTTTTTGGAGAGGTTTTGCTATAGGGCGCGTGCGCTCGCCAGAAAGACAGAGAGAGACAGAGAGACAGAAAGGGAGAAATCCCCCCCCACGGAGGATGGCCATGCCACAATCCCTTCTCCTCCATTCTCCTCTTGGAATCTTGGGCATGCATGCACATGTGCCCGGCGTGAGTTTAAGTCACCGGGTCCGGGACTCAAATCGTGGCTGACTACATGATAGTTCAGCAACATAGCCATTATGCTAACTGCTGGTCCCGATACTTAACTCTTTAATGTGCTGATAAAACAGAGCTTGAAAGTCATTCTTATCGTACACAAATTGGATTTTGGACATCACGTGTTTATACTTAAGTTCTTCCTTCCTAACACTTTAATTTTTGCTTCAATTATATCTTATTTTATATTGTATAAATTATGAATAATTTTTAGTTCAATCTATCTATCTATTTATCTATCTATCTATATACATATATATATATATCAGTTAGAAATGGACTTGAGTAGTAGAAACTCAACAGATTCAATTTAATGCAACAAATATCGAATGCCTACTAGGTACTTGCCACTGTTGTAAATTCTAAGGATATAGTAATGAATGACATGAAAAAAATTATGTAGCATCTTAGAAGGTGAAAAATGGTAGGGGGAAAAATGAATCTAATAAATGCAGCTATTTAAACAGAGAAGTTTTTAAAGATCTCACTGAGGTGATATTTGAGAAGACAAAGGTGAGGGAATGAGCCAGGTATCTGGGAGAATAGTGTTCCTGGCAGAGGTAAGAGTAAGTGAAAAGGCTTGAGATAGAAACATGACTGGCTCATGTGTCTGGAGGTTAGTATATCTAGAAAGGACTCAGCAGAGAAAAACAGCAGGAGAAGAAATCAGAGAGGCTGAATGTATTACACAAAGCCTTCCAGGTCATAGCAAGGACTCTTGGTTTTAACCCTGAGAGAAATGAGGAGCCAGAGGTTCCACTGGATAGTCTTAGGTTGAGGAGTTTAATGAACTAATTTATATTTTAACAGGATAATTATGGATATATATGGAGAACTGACAAGGGGCAAAAGTAGGAGCAGAGAAAATATTGAGAAAGTTACTGCAATAATCCAGAGGAGTAACAGTGGCTTGGACAGGAAAGGAATGTTGGACGAAGGAAACATGGACATAGTGGGAGAGCCATAATTTTGAAGAGGAGTCAATCTTAAAGGCTTAAGGACTGGATGTAGGGTGTGATTTTTTTTAAAAAATAGAGAAGTCAGGATGACTTCCCAATTTTTAGCTGAAGCAATGGGATAGATGGAGCTGATATTTACTGATAAGAAAAAAATCTGAGACAGAAGTCTGCTTTGGGACTATCAAGAGTTTGGTTTTAGACATGTTAAGTTTTTGATTTTATTAGATTATCTAAGTAGGCAGGTGAATACATGATTCTGAATTCAGAGAAGTCCATAAATAAACATAAATTGGGAGTTATCGGTATGAATAGATTATTTAAAGTTACATTGCTATTTAAGATCATGGCGTGCATGTAGACAGAGAAGCAATCCAAGGATTAATCTCAGAGCGTTCAAAGAATGAACCCTCTGAAGGGTGAGAGAAAAGCTGGAAAGCAGTAAAAGTGGAGCAATGAGTGAGCTACAAGAACAATAATGGGGCCAGCAGGTGGTGTAGTGATTAAGATGCTGGATTCCCACATGGTTGACTGCAGTTGGAGTTTTGGATAGGCAGCTTGAAAATCATGCCTCTGTGTTGTGTGTGTGTGTATGTGTGTGTGTGTGTGTGGTATATGTGTGTGTGTGTGTGTGTGTGTGTGTGGGATATGTGTGTGTGTGTGTGTGTGTGTGTGTGGGATATGTGTGTGTGTGTGTGTGTGTGTGTGTGTATGTCCAAAATCCCAGGAGGAGAATGGAAGAGAAGGGATTGTTGTGTGGCTATCCCTGGGGAACGGGGGTGGGGGGGGGTAGGTGGGTGATTTCTCACTTTCCTTCTCTTTGTTTCTCTCTGTCTTTCTCAGGTAAGCACACATGCCCTACAGCAAAAACAAACAAACACAAACAGAAGAATAAAAAGAATTACCAGTCAAAAGATCATTAATGCTCTTGACTATCTGCTTATAAAATAATGTATTTTTTTTTTGTAGAGAGATTTTTTTTTTTTTTTTTTTTTTTTTTCCCTCCAGCATTTTTTTTTTTCTTAGAGAGATTTTTGCTATAGGGAGCATGAGCTCGCTGGAGAGTGAGAGACAGAAAGTAAGAGATTACCCTCCCTCTCGGGGTACAATACCTTCTCCTTCACTCTCCTCTCAGGATCTTAGGCATAAGTTTTAAGCCACTGGGTCTGGGACTTGAACCGCGGTTGACTGCGTAAAAGTCCAGTGATGTAACCATTATACCATCTGCTGGTCCCATAAAATCAATTCTTAAAGAGATATCAAAGTTGTAATATGGCCATCTTTCAAGTGGGATTTAAAGTTCCTGAACATTACTGTGGAATGATGGAGAGTTGCCCACAGATATGGGAATTTTTAAAGTTTCAAGGATAGAAGCATGATATACTTTTTAGTATAATCATAACCATCTTCCCACTGTGATACCTGACATCCAAGGTGAGAGAAGAGTAACACTCATTATTGCCTATCTCTTTTTAATTTTCTATTTAGAATGGCCAGGGAAAATATGACCATTACTATTCACTTAAGAAAATTCCTGGTTGGCATTTTAATAATTTCCCACTATGATAATCTCTTCTTTCTCTTTTTCATTCTATTCTATTTCCATCTTTCTTTATCCTCCTCTTACTTTTATGTTTTATTTTTCTCCTCCCCTGGCAGTGTTCCTAGAGATTTCTTTGAGCTTAGCTCCACAGTCAACAAAGTTGTCATGAAATATAACAGCATATTGACAAGAATAACAGGAGAAATAATTTATTTGAATTTAGGTCTATTTTTTCCCTTAAATGTTTTCTAAATGACTTAATTCCAAGTAATCACAGTCATGGTTTTTTGTTTGTTTGTTTTATATAATATAAAACACACAAATTTCTGTCATTCTGAGGAGATTAGTATGTTTAAACACTTACCACCCACTGGCAGATTCTGGATCAGATCTTTAAGTTCCTTTTCTGTAAGGCTAATGCCCATGTTCCTCAAAACTGTGTCCAGTTTATTGACATCAATCATCCCTCCTTGTGAAAGAGACAGGCATATATGTGAAATTTAAGGAATCCCCAAAACAACAAAACTATCAATTTTATGTAGAAGGGTCTTCAAAAAGTTCTTAAAAAATGGGTATTATGAAAAAAACTATGTGTGGATATCAATAAATATTTTGTAGCCACATAAACTCATATTTAATTCCATTTTTCATGAACCTTTTGAAGTACCTTTGTATTATAATTATCATTTTCAGCATAATGACCCAGGCCAAAGGCCAAATAAGTCTGATAAAAATAACAAAAACAGTCAATACTGGGTTTAACAATTGAAACCTCTTCAAGTAAAAGGAATAATCAACACAGCATGAAGTGCTTTCCTTTAAAAAAAAAAAAAAAAAGGTTTTTGCCATAAGGCATGGGCACTCACCAGAGAAATACAGAGAGAAGGAAAATGGGAAATCACTCCCCCCGCCCCAAAGGGGGATGGCCATGTCACAATATCTTTTCCTCCATTCTCCTCTCAGGATTTTGTGCATGCAAGAACACATATCTGGTGTGATTTTCATGCCACTGGGTCTGGGACTCACATTGCAGTTGGCCATGTGGGAGTCTGGCACCTTAGCCACTATTCCACCTGCTGACCCCTACACAGCATAAAGTTTTAAACATGTTAATAATTTCATAGTCAATCCAATAGTGGAAATGACTAATCTTATAAGTGCAGTTTATTTTTGCTGATTGGCCCTTCATACTATTTCTACTAATGACCAAATTCTCTGCATAACTGAATCAATTATAGTGTACTCTCCCTCTACATATTTTCTTTTAGCATTACAAATGTAGACTTTATTAATTATTTTCCCTGAGTGCAAAAATATTCTCAGAGTATAAAACTTCTTTCCAGACCAGGACACAAAAGTAAAAATAAAATAGCAAATTACAATGGCCCACGGAAAAAGTAAGAACATAAAATCAATGTATATAACCAGTGATGATATTCACAATTTAGTAACTAGGGAACTGTACAAACAAAAAACTTGAGGGATTTCAGGTCCACCTATATTTCCTAACAATTCTCACTCACCTTTAAGAGACTTCACACCATTCACCAGTCTATTCTGATAGATCTTTCCATCTGCTGTAAGAAATTGCACAATTGGGTCATAGACATATTATGTTGGAGATCCATTAAAATAAAATACAAAAGCTAAAATTTTAAGAAAGTATATTTGATTAAGTGCACTGAAAATGTCCAATTAGAAACAATAAAATGAAAGAATGGAGAGAGCTCTTAATGCAGACATTCCACCTGTTCATGAATAATGGAGGCAGTTACTACTGGCCAACTTCCATGCTTACATGTTTTTCTTTCTTTCTTTCTTTCTTTCTCTTTTTTTTTTTTTTTTTTTTAGCTAGAGGGTGTATGTGCTTATGTGCTTTCCAGAGAGAGACAAAGAGCATGAGAGAGATGGAGAGGAGAAAACAGTTCTCATAGGGGATAGCAGCACTACATTCCCTTCTTCTCACTCTCTCTCTCTTTTCAGTATGTTGGGTACTCATGCACACACATTCACTGTGTTTCTCACACCATCAGGTCTGGGGCTTGTGGGATCTGTTGGCCATGTGGGATCCAGCTGCTTAACCCCCAGGTCATGGAACTGGTCCTCCATTTCTCTTTTTGATTATCTATTTGTTAACTCCTAATGTGTTCTCCCCTCTCTGTTTCTTTATTCACATCTTAATTTTTTTCCTCTCAGTGGAATCCAAAGTGACAATATAAATATTTCCCCCTAATGGCAAGATTCATGACTACTGTATTTAACTCCTAAACTGAGACAGAACTTCTTGTTAAGGCAGGATCAGGCCAGCTAGTGGCACGGTGGTTAAGGCAGCTGGATTCCACATGACCAACTGTGTGATTAAAGTCCTGGACCTGGTGGCTTGAAAAACGCACAGATATGTGTGTGTACAAAATCCCAAGAGGAGAATGGAGGAGAAGAGATTGTGGTATGGCCATCCCCTGCTTCTCTCTGTCTCTCTGATAAGCACACATGGCACATGCCCTGTAGCAAAATTATAGAAAAAAAGATCATACTAAGTATTTTTCAGATGGACAATTTTTCTTTTATGATCAAATAGAGATAATTTAAAATTTTTTCACAAATAAAAAACATAAAGTTTACTTGAAGCCTATACTAGAATTTAAAATTCTCACCATCCACTGGCAGATTTTTTAACAGCTTTGAACATTCCTTTTCTGTGAGGTTTATTCCCATGTTTCCCAGAACATTTTTCATATCACTGACATCAATTATTTCTCCTTCAAAAACAAAAACAAATTATATCAGAATTTTAATGATGATCTAATCCCAACATGAAAAAGAAAATCCCAGCTTGTTCCTCGTGAATTTCACTGCCCAATGAAAGCAAAGACAGAGTGTGACATTTCTAAATATCTGATCAATAACATTCATGGAAATGAATACTTTTCCAGTAAAATGATTCGCAACATATTAATGAGATAAGACAGCACGGTTACAATATCAGGTGGACTATCAACACACGAGAAAATGAGACTTAACATAATTTCCTAGTGAATTAGGGGTTTATTAGGACGGATCTAAATCTGTCATCAGATCAGACGGTCTTTCTGATTATCTTTAAATAACAAAATCAGATATATCTTCAGCAAAGCTTTACTTTTTTTTGGAGAGGTTTTTGCTATAGGGCGCGTGCGCTCGTCAGACAGACAGACAGAGAGATAGAAAGCAAGACATCACCCCCCCAGGGGAGACGGCCATGCCGCAATCCCTTCTCCTCCATTCTCCTCTTGGGATCTTGGGAACACACGCACGTGTGCCCGGCGTGAGTTTAAGCCACCAGGTCCGGGACTCGAACCGCGGTCGACCACATGGGAGTCCAGTGACATAGCCATTACGCTAACTGCTGGTCCCAGCAAAGCTTTACTTTATCATTTATTAATTTAATCTAGAATTTTATTTTCCTCCTACATAGGAATGGTAATATAACGTCATCAGATCCAAGCAACAAAGATACAAAACTGAACTGAACATTTTGTTACTAAAATGAGATAATTCAAAACAATTGATTAGACAGAAGATAAAATGTCAGAACACACAGGGAACTAAAAAACAACTTTCAAATACTGGGTCGTCAGGAAAGTCATTATGCATTTTTGCATAGAAAAACACAAAAAAATTCCTGATGACCTAATATAATTTTGAGTAAAACATATACTCTTAAATTTGTATTAACTTCTCACCTGTTAGAGATTTCACTCCATCCATAAACTCGTCAAGATCAACCTTTCCATCAGCTATAAGGCAAAAATAAGAACGACCTAGACTTAGAAAAAAATGCAATATGAAGCCTTTATCTTATGGAAGTCTATTCCTTCCCATTGTTCTCTTCAACTTCTAAATGTCAACTTTCAAATCTTAGATTTCAGGGATTTTATAAAAATAATAAGTGATCAATGTCCTAGATTAGAGGTTGGCAAAGTATGCAAGTGCATCTGGCATGTACAGTGGGATCAAGGAACTGAACCCATCTTCCATATGACTTTCAGCATTGCAGAGCGACACACAACTGCTCGATTCTTGGTTGATTTTTTTTTTAATGATTCTATTAGCAATATATTTTTTAAATCTGCCCTCTAGTACCTCAAATGAGAGAGCAAAGTTGTGAATTCTGCTCATGCTTGAATCTATCTTTAAAAAAGGGAAGGGAATTATGGTCAAATATTACCAGAGGCAACAATCTTTATTACCTAGGTTTGGTAGTAGTGACTGAAACAATCACCCAGACATATCCATAGAACTTTACTGTAAGTTTTAAGCAGACCCCTGTGTCTACCCAATGTCCAAAATGGCCAAGTAAGTCAGATTGGCCTGTGGTTTTGAACTGGATAGACATGTCAACTACCACTGTCTGCAGAAGATATAAGTACTGTGGAGCTACGTGAATACTGTTATTATTATTTTCTTTTATTTATATTCGATATATTTTGAGTTTGATCTTTACTCTGTTGGAGATTTGATAGTTGCTTTTTGAAAAATTATTTATTTAATTTTACATATTATTATTATTATTACTCAATTTAATGAGGGAGAGAAAGAGAGAGTAAGAAAGCAAATCATCAGGTCTAGGAGTCGAATTGTGGTCAGCCATGTGGGAGTCCAGTACCCCAACCACCATGCCACCTGTTGGCCCTTATATTATTTTTTATAGGGAATAAGGAAACAGAAAACTATTGACTGGTCTCTGTCTCTTCATTCTAAAGATGAAAATTTAAAATATCTCAACTTAGAGAGAGAAGGTTGTTCCTAATTTTTGTAGGGTCTTCTAAGAAGGACATTTAATCTATTGTACCATGGGAATGTCAGAAGAGGCTTCAGAGATATTGTGATCCCCTAGGGTATGTATCTTAAAAATATGTTGGGCCAGCGGGGTGTGTGGTGGTTGATGTGTTGTACTTTCACATGGTTGATTGCAGTTCAATTCATGGACCCAGCAGCTTGAAAATCTGCCAGGCACTATTGTGTATGTACCCAAAACTCTTGAAAGGAGAATGGAGGAGAAGGGATTGCAGTGTGGCCATTCTCCTGGGTGTGTGTGTGTGTGTGTGTGTGATATCTCACTTTCCTTCTCTCTGTTGCTTTCTCTCTCTCCAGAGAGCACATGTGCCCTATGGAAAAAAAAAGAAAGAAAAGAAAAAAAAGTTTCCAGCTTCTTACAAGTATACAGGTTTATCATTGATTTTCAAAAAGGGTGAAGAGTTTTCTTAAATACTGCTCATTGTTTTCAATCAAACTTAAACAAACATTATCGATAGCTTGAGGTGGTCTTATCAGACATTATACTGGGATGAAAGGAGATATGAACTCCCATCAAAATGAAGTGGATCTGACTGGTGAGCCACAACCAATATCAGGGTCTCTCTGAGTAGAGGCTTCAAGTGAAAGTGTCATTACTAATAGTCATTCTAATCCAGCTCACCTAGTGGAAATATGCTCCCAGGGAGAATGTGATCATATGGGTGAATTTGTAAAAGCTACTATAACACACATACACACACACACGTATGTTAAGTAACTCTAGAGTTTAATTTATCTCGCAAAGTGACTGCTAATACAAAAGGAAACTATTTCTCTTGTTTTGTAAGAACTGTGAAAAAAATCTCTGGCTTAGAGATAGAACAAAGTGGTACCATTTTAACCTTGGAAGGTTTGAAGGTGTCAGAAATAATAGTGGAAATAGATTTCTGGCACATACAATGCTCTTCCCTTATCTCTAGTTCCACTTTTTTAAGGTTTCAATGACCTACAGACCATCCTGGCCTAAAAATATTAAATGAGAAAATCCAGAAATAAATAGCTCATAAGTTTTAAATTGCACAGTATTCTGAGTAGTGTGATATCTTGTGTCTCCCTTTCCTTCTCAGGAAGTGAATCATCCTTTTGTCCACCATGTCCATGGTATATGCAGGGACTTCAAAAAGTTTGAGGAAAAATGGAATTAAATTATGAGGCTTATTTTGTGCAAAAATAAATGTGAAATCTATGTATGTTTTTTTCCCAATACATATTTTTCATGAACATTTAGAAGATTTCTTGAATATATTAACCATGTATTAGTCACATAGTAGCAATCTTAGTTATCAGATCAAAAAAAATACATTGCAGATAGAGGATTCAGTATCTTCTGCAGTTTTAGGTATCCACTGGGGGTCTTTGAACATATCCTCTTTGGATAAGGGGACTACTGTACTAAGTGCCAAGAAATTTATTAGACACTAAGTATAGAAGGGTACATAAAACACTTGCGATTAACTGGAGCTATGTAAGGCCAGTCCTATAGCGCAGTGGTTAAGCCCTGTGCACAGGAAACTGGATCCTAGATAGCTGACCATGGTCTGAATCCCAGTCCAGGCACTTTGAAAAACACACTGGGTGCATATACATGTAGCCCTAATTCTGATGAGATGGAGAATCGAGAAAAAATAATTGCAGCATGATCACACCCCATTAGAGGATGATTTCTTTCTGTTTCTGTCTTTCTCTCTCTGGTGAGTGCACATGCCCTTCAGCTAGAGAAAGGAAAGAAGAAAGAAATGGAGCTATGCACAACCAAAATAAGTTAAATAAACACATGACTATAACAAAATTTTAAGAACAAAAAGTTATGGGAGATCCAGGTATACACTTAGAATTTAGGAAAGTAAAGTTCCTAAAAAAAGAGGATATATGAATTAAAGCATGCATAGGAATTTGCCAAGTGAAGTAAGCATATGGGCCATCTAGGAAGTGAAGACCATATGAGCAAAATTAAACAGGTTAAAAAACAAGTGCAGATGGCCAATGTGTGGAATTATAAAGATGATTAAGAGATATGATTCCTGTGCCCAAAAAATAAGCAAAGGATGATCCTGCAAAAATAGATCCTAGAGAGATTTATACGCCATGTAAAAGTGCTTGTACTTTCTCTGATGGGACTGAAAAATAATGCAATTATTATTTTGAATTAGGTTTGAATTTTATATAAATCACTCTGGCAACTCAGTGGACAATGTATTGCAAAGAAAAAAGACATGTGTAAAGAGAACCATTATGTTGCCACAGGATTAAATTGGCACATGAGAGTACCTATTATAAACTCAGATTAGAGACTAGAATGGAAATAGAGATTTGGAAGTCTATTGGTGAGAGGTGAAAGTCCCAAAGGGACGGGCTGAAGTATATTGGTGATCGTGGTCATGATTTCTTTTACTCTTCCATTTTATTCTCCCAACTTTTATTCTGTCCCCTGACCGTGTTTTTGGTCAGACAGTGATACCTGTTTTACTGTAAGATATGCTTTACCACCTTTGAGAATAGGTTGATGACTTTAGATATAAAAACAAAAATGAATTCAGACCAGGAGTGATTCCATCCTGCATGGCTGTTTTCGGGAGCTGTAGTTGTTTACCTTCATCTGCCTTCTCACCCACCTGAGTGCGTGCCGCCACCCCATAGAAGATTCGATGGACAAGAGCCCCCTGAGGCTCTAGAGCTATCTTTTCTGCTGTGAACTAAAACCTGACAAAGATTGCCACTTTAAAGTGGTAATGATGGAAATGAACACCAGTTATCTTTAAGAACAGTCAGTTCGGGGGCTGGTGCAAAGGACGAACAGCAGACTGTTGAAGCAGAGGCAATGAATTATGAAGGAAGTCTAATTAAAGTAACACTGGCAACACTGAAAATGTCTGTACAGCCAACAGTTTTCCTTGGGAGCTTTGAAATAACACCACTCGTGGTTCGAGGCCTATGCATGTTAGTGGACAGCACTTAGTAGTTGTGGAGGAAGATGCAGTCAGAAGAGGAAGAAGATGTGAAACACTTAAGTGTATCTGGAAAGCAATCTGCCCCTGTGGGTGGTAGCAAGTTTCCACAGAAAAAAGTAAAACTTGCTGCTGGTGAAGATGCTGATGCTGATGAAGATGATGATGATGATGATTTCGCATATGAGGAAACAGAAGAAAAAGCTCCAAAGAAATCTATGTGAGACACTCCAGGCAAAAATAAAATCACAATGAAAAAGACTTAAATCATCAATGCCAAGATCAAAAGGTCAAGAATCATTCAAAAAAACAGGAAAAAAACTCCTAAAACACCAAAAGGACCTAGTTTTTTAGAAGACATTAAAGCAAAAATGCAAGCAAGTATAGAAAAAGGCGGTTCTCTTCCCAAAGTGGAAGCCAAGTTTATCTGAAAGGCCCCTGACTCAAATAGCCGGTGACCCTTTAGTCCAGAGAGTCACGGCAACCCCAATCAACCACAAGAGTCAGTTCTTGTTGTAAAACACAAGAGGGCTTTATTGCTAGCGCGCTAGGACTCCACTCCTGGTCACAACAGACTCAGAGGGAAGTGGAGCCCTGAACAAAAGAAGCATGCAGATTATATAGGCACAGGTTTGAGGGGTGAAGGGGGGAATGGGGAGTGAAGAAATGGGATACTGGTTCATTAAGTGTGGTAATCTTTCTCTGCTGACTTTCTTGTTTACACAGATGTTACAACTGGGTCAGGTCAGATACTCAGGGTGGTCCGATGCCGGTTTGTTATCTACACAAGTGGCCTTCAAGGGCATTCAGCAGATGTCTGGCTTTTCAGGGTGAGGGTAACACAGTTTGCAGAGACCTGACTTTCTGCATGTAGCTGAGCTGACACGAGGGAGTGAAGCAAGCCCCAGCGGTCTGCACAGCTCAGGGCTGTTTTCTAAGGCGGTGGTTCGAGCTTTTGTACAGAAGCAGAAACAGCAAGCAGTTAATTATCACAGAATGTAGTTTGAGTGCATTTTTATTCTTTCATATCAATTACATAAAGAATTGCATCTAGACGATTGACCAGAAGGCTATTCAAGATCTCTGGCAGTGGAGGCAGTCTCTTTAAGAAAATAGTTTAAACAGTTTGTTGAAATTTTCTATCTTACTTCATTTCTGAAACAGTTGCTATCTAGCTGTCCTTTTTTGTTTTTGGAGAGGTTTTTGCTATAGGGTGCTTGTACTCGCAAGAAAGACAGAGAGACAGAAAGTGAGAAATCAGCCCCCAGAGGGGATGGCCACGCTGCAATCCTTTCTCCCCCATTCTACTCACAGGATCTTGGGCACGCATGCACATGTGCTCGGCATCAGTTTAAGCCACCGGGCCTGGGACTCAAACCACGGTCAACTACATGGGAGTCCAGTGACATAGCCTTTATGCCAACTGCTGGTCCCCTGCATGTCCTTTTTATAATGCAGAGTGAAAACTTCTCCCACCATGTTTGATAAATATTATATGGGTACTATTGCCAAGAATGTGTCGTCCAAAATGTCTGTTTAGTTTTTAAAGATAGAACTCCACCCCTAGCTTGGTTTTACATATATATGGAATGCTATGATAGGACACAGTAGTAGTGGTGGTCAGACATGGAAATGGTGAGGAGACAAAAATATACATGTGAAATAAACTCAGTATTTTAATAAAGTAAATAAATAAATAAAATTTTTAAATTAATTAATAGAATTTCTTTTAATGTTCTGTCCATAGGTCTTTTTGACAAGAAATAGTTTTAGAATAGTTTTAGAAATTCTCATATTCCAGATTAGAAGCTTAAAGACACAAGAAAAGAAACAATGTTATATACAATGCTTACCATTAACTCGTAGGTTTTCTGCCAGATCTTTAAGCTCTGATTCTGTGAGTTTGATCCCCATATTTTCAAGAATAGTGTCCATACTATCAACCTTAACTTTTCCTCCTTTGAAAGACATAAGTTGGGAACATAAAAAGTAAATAATTTCAAAACAATAAGTATTACTTTAACGGTCACATGATGTAGTTGTGTTTAATGGGTATGTACTAATATTAAAATGAAAATAGACATTAAATATGATTTATATATTTTTTAAAAATTCACAATACTAATACTAAAACTCCAATTTGATTTGCCCAAGAAAACAGATATTTTTAATACAGGAATTAGAATCAGAATTTGTGTCCCTAAACCTTGTTGTTGGGTCAAGCTCACAGTGGAAAATAGTCACTTCCTGAGTTCATATTTTTGAACAATAAATAAGGCCAATTTGTGTTTCCTAAACTAATTTATTTTTTAGAGAGATTTTTGCTATAGGGTGTGTATGCTCGCTGGTGAGACAGAGATAATTAGAAATAGAGAGAGAGAGAGATGGAAAGTGAGAAATCATCTTCCCCAGGGGAGATGGCCATGTTGCAATCCCTTCTCCATTCTCCTTTTGGGATCTTGGGCACACATGCACATGTGCCTGGTGTGAGTTTTAAGCCACTGGGTCCAGGACTCAAACCACGTCGAGTATGTGGGAGTCCAGCAATGTAACCATTATGCTCTCTGCTGGTCCCCCTATAAACTTTCACTTTAATTATTACTGCTGCTATTGACCACATTTTAAAAATAACAACCTCTAATGTTTCTTTTCATTATTCCAGTCTGAAATAATTCATTTGAAGTAAAATTTGGAAAATTCCAAAAATTTGTCCTTATGCAAAAGTTATATACAGGACATTAATTCGTAGAGATGCTTTTAAAAAACATAAATAAGAACTGTTCTATAAATAGGAAACAATCACAAATCCAAAGATATAAATATTATAACCCACGAAGTTTTGAGATGGTTTTGCCTTCTTTGTTTTGTTTTTGTTTTTGTTTGCTATAGGGCATGTGCCTTTGCTGGAGAGAGACACAGAGAGAAAGACACAGAGAGAGAGAAAAATTAAAACCAGAAATTGCCCACCATGCGGGATGGCCATACTGCAATCCCTTCTTCTCCATTCTCTTCTCAGGATTTTGGGCACATTGTGCACATGTTCTCAGCATATTTTTCAAGTCCCCAAATTCTAGACATGAATCATGCAGTCGGCCACATAGATCCAGGCACCACTGTGCCAACAGCTGGCCCAATTCTGCCTTCTTACCAATTTTTTTACTCACCTTTGAGAGACTTCACTCCATCCAACAACCTATTTTGAAATACCATCCCAGCATCTATAATAGAAAGCATAATTTATACCAGAAAAAATAAGATAAAAGACGGTGCATACAACATGATTACATGGAAGTTTTAAAAACAGTATTTGCTTTATCTATCACTTCTATATCATCCTCAAGTACAAATAAAGATGGAAAATGTTCTCTATATGATAAAGCTACATCATCTGGCATTTAAAACATTCACAGATATTTTGCAAACTAAAATACTGAGACACAAGATATTTTTCTTTTTCTTCTCTTACTTTCTCTATTTTAATAAGATTCTCACCTTTTCATTTTCCTCCTTATTTTTCTGTTCATATAACACAAAGACTTTTGCTTAGTCCTTCATAGCACTAAGGACTACTGCTTAATACACTCTCTTTAATAATCTCCAGAGAAAAATAAATAGGAAAGTTTAAATTTCTTACACAGCCCACTATAAATAAAGGTCTATGGAAGGCCTGAGTGGCATCCTTAAGGCTCACCATCATATGGCAGGGTTTTCAGCAAATTTAAGAATTCCTCTTCTGTGAGCTCAATTCCCATGCTTTCTAGGATGTTTTGGAGATCGTTGATACTAATCTTTTTACCTTTGAAAAAAGATAAATGTCAACTATTAGAAAAAAATATTTATTTACACCAGGAAAACATGATATATAAATTGAAGAAAGTTCAATATTAAAATAATATCTACCAGGACCAGCAGATGGCGTAATGGCTACATCACTGGACTCTCATATAGTTGAATGCAGTTCGAGTCCTGGACCTGGTGGCTTAAACTCATGCTGGGTGCATGTGTGTGCGTGCCCAAGATCCCGAGAGGAGAATGGAGGAGAAGGGATTGTGGCATGGCTATCTCCCCAGGGGGTGATTTCTCGCTTTCTGAATCTCTGTCTCTGTCTGCCTTTCTGCCTAGTGCACGTGCCCTATAGCAAAAACCTCTCCAAAAATAAAAATATCTATCTACAATATATAAAAATCAATGGGAGAGACATTTAAAAAGCACTCTTCCTTATCAGTAAAAGGAAGGTTTTGTTTTTGTTTTTGTTTTCTTAGAGAGATTTTTGCTATAAGGCACTTGTGCTTGCCGAAGAGACAGAGAGACACAAAGCAAGAAGTCATCCCCCAGGAGAGATGGCCACGCTGCAATCCCTTCTCCTCCACTCTCCTCTGGGGATCTTGGGCATGCACACGCACATGTGCCCGGTATGTTTTAAGCCACTGGGTCCAGGACCTGAACTACAGTGGACTATGTGGGAGTTCAGCAACATAACCATTATGCCATCTGCTGGTACCCTGTTTTTGTTATTTTTAAAACCTAACAATAGCAAAAATTTATTTGTGTAGTCAGTGAATCATATATCTAACTGAAAATAATCAACAAGGAAATTCTACAAGTATTTTTCTTTTTAATCTAAAGTACATGATTTGCACTTCACAGTGATAAATACATCTTAAGCTTCTTAAATTTTAAACAAAACAAATTGTTGGGCAGGTGGCATGGTGGTAAAGGTGCTGGACCCCCATATGGCCAAACCACGGTTTGAGTCTGGGACCTGGTGGCTTGCTCTCTCTCTCTTTCTCTCTCTCTCCTTCTTTTGTCAAATTAAAAAATAACAAATAAAATAAAATAAATAAATACATTTAAAAAAACAAATTGTTATATAAAAACCTTTTAGTATGTTAAAATCTGCATCCCTCTTACAGATTTGACAAATATAGGTTGGTTGATGTTTCTGATCATTCACAATTATTGCGGTATGACGCCAAGATGCACATTATATGGCTAGGCCATGGAGTCAAGGGATATTGACCCAGCTATAAAATTTGCTAAGAAAATTCTCTTCTGCCAAATAGCCTCCTAAATGTTATCATCCATTTACTGTGGCTTTCTAGGTTTCAGATATTTATATAAAGTGCTGAAACCATGGTAAAAGGCTTCCAGAGACAATGTAACAAGTTTAAAACAAAAGATAAAATGTTTATGTTAAAATCTTGGTAACCTAAAACCAAATGGTAGCGCAACAGGCAACAGAAGCAAATATTTTTCACAAAGAAGTAAAAGGTCAGAATTTAAAAGTCAGTGATATACTATTAGAAAAATGTGTTTTTAGTTTATTTTTTAAGAATTATTTAAAATTGTTATTTGTTATTATTGGTTTTATTTTTAAATTTGCTATAGGGTACTTGTGCTTACGAGAAAGAGAGAGAGAGAGAGAGAGAGAGAGAGAGAATGAGAAAGCAAGCCACCAGGTTTGAGACTTGGACTGTGGTCAGTCACATCTTAACCACCATGCCACCTGCTGGCCCCAGAAAAAATGCTATTTTAAAACATAACACAGAGTAAGTGTTTAAATTTTATGCTAAACTTACCTACCTGTAAAAGCTTTCAATCTATCCATCAATTTTTTTATTTCAACTTTTCCATCAACTGTAAGAAAATGTGCATATCACCTGTAAGATTCAGAAACTATAAAACATACTAAGAAAATTAAACACATCTATTTTTGCTCCTGCATTTTAATGTATTTTAACCACTTCATAATTATGAACTAGAAAAAGCTTTAAACACAATACATATGAATCTTCAGTAATGTCTCTTTGACTTCCTATTAAAAATAATAAACCTCAATAATAATGACAGGATAAAATCTGAAGTAGATTGCTTCATAGCTCATAAAGGCTCTTTGACAAAGCTCTTGAGATTTATAAGAGGTGCAAGTCACAAATCAATGTCATCATGTAGATTTTGACAAATCCATGTATTTACTCAAAGGTCACTCTCTCAGTCAGGCTTTCCTCTGGTTATTTTTTCTAAAACAGTAAACTATTGTGCCAGCCCTGTAGTTATAGAGGTTAGGCACTGTGCCTAAGGAGCCAAATCCCATAGTCTACCATGGTTCAAGTCTAAGCCCTGGCAGTTTGAGAAGCATGCTGGGCCTGTGTGCATATCTGCCCCAAACCCTTGTAAGATGGAGAAAGGAAGGAATAAGGGATTGTGGCATGAGCTATACTACTGGGAGGATGCTATTTCTGTCTCTCTCTCTCTGTATGCCCTCTTGCTATAAAAAACATAGTAAGCTTTCCTCTTTAATACAAACATATCTTAGTCTCTACTTTTATCTTTAGCATTATTCATGTATCTAGTGTATACTACAACTTTTATTATGTCTGTTATTTGTCTCCTCCTATAGAAATTTATGTAAGTTTCAGGGACCAGCAGATGGCGTAATGGTTACATCGCTAGACTCCCATGTAGTCAACTGTAGTTCGAATCCTGGACCGGTGGCTTAAAACTCATGCCGGGCACATATGCATGCATGCCCAACATCCCAGGAGACTAGAGGAGAAGGGACTGGGGTGTGGCCATCCCCCCTGGGGGGTGATTTCTCGCTTTCTGTCTCGCTTTCTGGCAAGCACATATGCCTGATAGCAAAAATCTCTCTCTACAAAAAGAAATTTATGTAAGTTTCATGAATAAAAGGAACTTTTTCTGTTTTTCTCAACTGTTCTATTCCCCGAATCTAGAGCAGTTCACATTAGGCAACAAATACATATTACTTGAATAAATGAAGTATTTTGAATTTTAAAAGTTCTAGGTTTGTAGTCAATAATACCCTTAATGAAGTAAAAAGGAATTGGAGATAAGGAATCTTGAGAGGACAAGAATAAAGAGAATAGAAAAACAGGGGAAAAGTCTTATTTAAGTTTGTGTAATAGCTTCTCACTCTTTTTATGCTACTGAAAAACTTTTTGAGAAATTAACATCTTTTTCTCTGAACAATGCAATACTAAATTCAGTGGGACAGTCAACCAAGTTTATTTAAACTTTCCATTTTATCTCCCCATGTGAAAGACTAAAACAGAGCCTTAAAAGGGGTATTGCTCATTTATACACTGCAATGTATTTGTCATAGGGTTATCATCTGCTAAATTTATTGAGGCTTGCTAGTATATTAATTACTATGGCAATGCTATCTACAGGTCAGCTGAGTATGGGAAATGTACACTGGTTTCACTGGGCTAATGGAGTTATTTTAAACAATCTTAGATATTCAAAAATGAAGAGAACAATGAAAGACATATTATGTATTAGGTTAGATTCAACTGAATCTTGCTTTTACCAGTAGCTCTATTTTTCTAACAATACATAATGAGGGTAACTTTGGCCTGGGTTTGAACTCACTCAACTCACACTATTTGATAGGACATCTAAGGGGATGTTCTTTCCCATGATGTTTCTACATATATATATATTTTTTTCAGTTAGCTAGGGTATATACTAACTATTCTAATAAAGATATTGTTTCTCCACGACATGCTTATTTTCACCTTAAATATATACTTCTCCAGGGAACCAGCAGTTAGCGTAATGGCTATGTCGCTGGACTCCCACGTAGTCAACCGCAGTTCGTGTCCCGGACCCGGTGGCTTAAACTCACGCCGGGCGCGTGTGCGTGCGTGCCCAAGATCCCGAGAGGAGAATGGAGGAGAAGGGATTGCGGCGTGACCATCCCCCCTGGGGGGTGATTTCTCGCTTTCTGTCTCTCTGTCTGTCTGGCGAGCGCATGCGCCCTACAGTGAAAATCTCTCAAAAAAAAAAAAAATATATATATATATATACTTCTCCAGAAACTCAAGCTTTTACATTTGCTTCAATTGATTTTTAAATTTTTAATTGTGGTAAAATACACAAGGGAAATTTCCTATTTTAACCATTTTAAGTATATAGTTAGTAGTGCTCACTATATTCACATCGTTGTGCTATAGATCTCTAGAACTTTTCCATTTAGAAAAATTGAAACTACCATTCAACAGCAAGTCCCCATTTCCTCCTCCCAGCCCTTAGCAACCACTATTCTATTTTCTGTTTCTCTAAGTATGACTACATTAGATACTTCATATAAATAGAATTACTTCATATAAATGGAGTACTTGCCTTTTTGTGAATGACTCATTTCACTTGGCATAATATCTTCAAGGTTCATTTACGTAATAGAATTCCTTCTTTATCCCTTTCTTTTTAAAGGCTAAATAATATTCAACCGTGTGTATATACTACATTTTCTATATTTTTATTATTTATTCAGTTTTATTTATTCATTCATTTAATTTGACCAGAGAGAGACAGAGAGAGAGAAAGAGAAAAGGGAAAGTGGAAAAGCAAGCCACCAGACCCAGGACTCAAACTGCAGTTGGCCATGTGGGAATGTCCAGCACCTTGACCACCACACCAACTGCTGATCCCTACATTTTCTTCATTTATTTGTTTATGGACATTTGGGCTGCTTCTATCTCTTGGTTATTGTGAAATGTTGAAATTTTATTTATTTTTAAATTTCATTAACATTGAAATGAACATAAAAATACAAACACCTCTTTTTTAAAGAATTAATTTAATTTTATTTATTATAATTATTAGTTTTTCATTTTGCTATAGGGCATGTGCATTCACCAGAGAGAGACTGACAGAAAAAGAGAGAGAAAGAGACAGAGAGAGAGAGAAAGTCACCAGGTCTGGGACTCAAACTATTATCAGGCATGTAGGAGTCCAATGTCTCAACCATCATGCCACCTGCTGGCCTACAAACACTTCTTTGAGATCTTATTTCAAGTCTCTTGGATATATATACCAGAAGTAGGATTGTTGCATTATATAATAATTTATTTTTAAATTTTTTGAGGAATCTCCATATTATTTTATATAGCACTTGTATTATTTTACATTTTTACCAACAACACAAGAGTTCCAATTTTTCTACATCCTTACCAAAACTTTTTAATCACTTTTTTGTTTGTTTGTTTGTTTTGTTTATGCTTTGGTTCTGATAGTGGCCATCCTAATGAGGATAGAGTGATAGTGCACTGTCATTTTGATGTGCACTTCTCTAATGATTAATCATATTGAACATCTTTTCATGCACTTGCTGACCATTTACTGGGTCATTGGAAAAGTCATGAAACATTATACACACTCCCTAGAGGGGATGACCATGCTCATGACTTTTCCAATGACTTAATACACACACACACACACACACACACACACAGACATACATATATTCTTCAGAGAAATGTCTCTTTAGGTCCTTTGTCCACTTTTAAAGTGGATCATTTTGCATTTGTTGAGTTGTAGGAGTCATTCCTTTCTTGATACATAATTTACAAGTATTTTCTCCCATTCTACTGATTGCCTTTTAACTCTATTGATTGTATCATCCAATGTGCAGAAGTTTTTAAGTATAGTATATATTCATTTACCTAATTTTGCTTCTGTTTCTTGTGCTTTTAGTATTATATCCAGAAAGAAAGTAAAACCAAATGTCACAAAGCTTTTATTCTCTGAGTTTTACAGTTTTAAGCATTTAATCCATTTTTAGTTGATGTTTGTATGTGGTGGAAGCTAAGGATCCAACTTCGTTCTTTTTTCTTTTTGCTTTTTTTGGAGAGGTTTTTGCTATATGGCACGTGTACTCACCGGAAGACAGAGAGAGACAGAGAGACAGAAAGTGAGAAATCACCCCTAGGGGGGATGGCCACACCACAATCCCTTCTCCCTCCATTCTCCTCTCAGGATCTTGGGCATGCATGTGTACGCACCCAGCATGAGTTTAAGCCACCGGGTCCAGAACTTGAACCACAGTTGACTACATGGGAGTCCAGTGACAGAGTCATTACACCAACTGCTGGTCCCCCAACTTCATTCTTTTGCTTGTTGATATCCAGTTTTCCTACCAACACTTGTTAAAGAATCTTGGCACTTTTGTCAAACATTCCCACCAACACTTGTTATTGTGTGTTCTTGTCCCTCTCTCCAAAGACCAGTTGATCATACAGGCAAAGATTTACTTCTGGATTCTATTTTGTTCTACTGGTCTGTATATTTGCCTACTTTACTTGACTTTTAAGTTAAACAAAGTACATAAAGATAGTTATTTGGATGGATGCTGTGCCAAATAAGACTATATTTGTTTTCAATTTCACTTAATGCCAGAGTTTTAATAGTTAAAAAACAGAGGGAGGTGCCAGGAACATTTGCGGACACGCCCAAAATCCCTAGAGGGAAATGGAGGAGAAGGGATTACAGTGTGACCATTCTCCCCAGAGAGTGATTGCTCATTTTCTGTCTTTCTGGTGAGCATATGCACCCTATAGCAAAAATATCTCTGAAAAAAAAAAAAAAAAAAAAAACAACTCAAAAACAGAAAAAGGGAGTGAGGATAGTGAGGTTCTATTGTAATTCCATATGACTGCTTGTGTTAAAATACAGCCTCCTTTGATAAAATTTGGTAGTCTGACATCTATAATTAGTCTCTACAATTTTTTAGTATAAACTCACACTACAAGTAAATAAGCTGACAAAAATTTATACACATTCTGAATGACTTTTTCCAGTGTTGTGGAAAATACATGAATAACTGAACAAAAATTTTCAGATAAAGAGCTTATCTAGGAAAACAGCCAATGAGAGTGAAAATGATCAGGAATGGGAAGATAATCAAGAGAATATCCCATGAAAACATTACTGACTCCTTTGGAATATTGGCTACTTCTTAAGCTGAGATTTACTTTATGACTCACCACAATTGGCTCTAATTCAGTATTTCCTGAATTTCAAAATCTAATTCCATATTTAAGTATGAACTAAAGCCTAAGTATGGTCTAGGAATAAAGAGAGCTAAAAGCTATGGAACTTATAAATAAAAGAAGCATTTCATATAGGCTATTATTACCTCTTACCCTTTGTCCACTTTACTTTCCATTTTGAAAGGCTAAGGAAAATATGGCCACTATACATCTACCAACTGCCTTTCCCTGTCCTCAGTCCTTAATTTATTTTACTTTTCTTTTTTCCTGTGTCAATATTTTTTGCTATATTCTCAGCAATTTTCAGCATAAAAGAGTGAATGATATTGATGTGATGTAAGTGAATATTTTACAAGTTATTTTTTAATTTTTAGTTTTGATTTTTCTCTAAGATTTTCTAAATGTGTCCTTATTGCCAAATAAAATTTTAGAAGTTCTTAAAAACTTTTAAACCCATATACCCTTGGAGACTCAATTAAATCTTAAATACTCACCATCCACTGGTAGATTCTTTACCATGTCTTTATGTTCCTTTTCTGACACGTTCATCCGCATGTTTCTCAGTACTGTGTCCAGTTTATTGATATCAACCTGCCCTCCTTAGGGGGAAAAATGTTCATAACCAAAATTTAATGACTCAAAATGTGAAAAATATGACTATTTTCAGGGTAGTAAAGTTTTTTTGTTTTTGTTTTTTAGTATGAGGATCGAAGTCAATTGAGGTCATTTTCAAAATGTCCAAAATGGGACAACACAGTAAAAGCAGAACCGCTTTTGCTGAGCCTATTTTATGGGAACTAGTTTTCATAGCAAAAGTTTTTTTTTTAAGGGTTTTATATCTAATTAGGGAAATACACAATAAAATACATAATATAATATTTCTGATAGTAAATAGAGTTTATTTTCTTCTCTGATCCTCAATTTAATTTGTCCAGCTCCCATACAGACTTCCTATCTGTTAATCATTTCCTTTGGTATTCGTTGCTCAGACTTAATCTTTATTTTTATACTAAGCAAATAATTTGAAGATCCTAGTAGAAAATGAGACTTCTACCAGTGTCGAATATATAAGATTATCATCTGCTAAAATGTTAGTAGATCTAGATGAGGCACAACTATAAAATGTATGTAATGGGAAATAAATGTGTACTATAAATATATATGAAGTCTTGAAGAATTGACAATTCAATGACTATATAAAAGTGGTAAGTAGAAGACATGTTATCAAGCCCAATTGCTTTTCATCATGTTCTTCATTCACCTGTAAGAGACTTCACACCATCCATCAACCTATTCTGGTAGAAATTCCCATCATCTGTAAGAAAAGTCACAATTCAAGTCAGAAATATATGAGTTAGAGATTCACTAACGTAGAACAAATGTCATAATTTTAGAGAGACACTCTGACTTTATTATTTCTAGTTCACTGTAAAGAATAAAAGTAGGAAAGTTCCTAATGTGGCCAGTCTACCTTTCTTTGGGACTCAAAGAAATAAAATATTAGCCCTCTACCATGCTGAAATGAATGCTTTCATTTCTACTTTCATTTCCATAATTTCTCTTTGTACTCCCTTTTAGTATACATCTATTCTTTTTTTTTTTTTTTTTTTTTGAGAGATTTTCACTGTAGGGCGCGTGCGCTCGCCAGACAGACAGAGAGAGACATAGAGACAGAAAGCGAGAAATCACCCCCCAGGGGGGATGGTCACGCCGCAATCCCTTCTCCTCCATTCTCCTCTCGGGATCTTGGGCACGCACGCACACGCGCCCGGTGTGAGTTTTAAGCCACCGGGTCCGGGACATGAACTGCGGTTGACTACGTGGGAGTCCAGCGACATAGCCATTACGCTAACTGCTGGTTCCCTATTCTTTTTCTCTTTCTATTATATCCCAGAATGAAATCTCTTAGTAGAATTGAGAAATAAAAATAGGGTTTTAGATTTTGAGGCCAGTAATTTTGACTGACTAGATAGTTGATTTACAAATTAAAAAACAATTGGTTGGGCATGGTGACACATGCCTATAGCCCAGCTACTAAGAGGCTAAGGTAGGAACAATTTTAGGTCAGCCTAGGCAACATAGAGAGACCCTATCTATAAAAAACAAAGCAAACAAAAATAAAAGAACTTTAAAATAATTGATATTTCAGGAGATTGAAAATTAAAATATGATAAGTAAATAAACTTGAAAACTTTTAGAGTAAAATAAAGGAGAATTTTTGTTTTTTGAGAGGTTTTTGCTATAGAGCGCATGCACATACCAGGAAGACAGAGAGAGACAGAGAGACAGAAAGCGAGAAGTCACCTCCCAGGGGAATGGCCACGTGCAATCCCTTCTCCTCCATTCTCCTCTTGGGATCTTGGGCATGCATGCACATGTGCCTGGTGTGAGTTTAATCTACTGGGTTCGGGACTCAAACTGCGGTCAACTATGTGGGAGTCCAGTGACGTAACCATTATGCCAACTGCTGGTCTCAGGAAAATATTTTTATGATTTCATAAAAGCAAAATGCAAAAATACAAACCTTAAGGAAAATTTACATAAATCTTAAGAACTTTTCTGCATCAGAATGAAAGTACAGAATCAAGTCAATAAAATATTTTGGGAACATATATTTTAAACACAATAACCAATGGAAACCTAATATCTAGAACACGGGTAAGTAAAGTATGACCAATGAGCAACTTCCTCAATTCTTGATTTTATAAATGATTTTTTTTTAGAACACAGCCATGCCTATTTTTTTTACATATTGACTATGGCTACTCTTACAAGAGAAGGGCTGCGTAGTTACGATGGCAGCGGTAAAGCCTAAAGTATTTACTTTTTGGCCTTTTACAGGATGTTTGCTTGTCTACTGATTTAAAATATAAAGAACTCTTACAAATTAGTAAGAAAAACAGCAGTAAACCCATTGGAAATTATGCAAAAGATATACATTGGTCCTTCAAAAAAAAAGAAAAAAAAAACACAAATTGTTCATCAAGATGAACATCATTAGTAATTAAAGATTAGCACCATTCACATTTACCAGATTAACAAATGTTTGACAGTACCAAGTATTGGCTGGGAAGTAAAGAAAGTCAGCAGCAGTCATTAGTGCTATTTATCAAATGTTCTGCATTCTGTACTCTTTTAAAATTATGGTAGGATCATAAAATCTGGTCCCCTTGTGGTTGGGTGTGACCCTATAACAAAATGTGCGTATAAACTTGTGCATGGTAAGTTTTGATCTAGCATATTTACCACTTGACACCCTGAAGAATTCTTTAATATTTGAGATGGCAGCTACCTGAATCCTTGAATAACTATGCTGAGTAGAATCTCTTTGCTGGCCCATAGTGCACATGTATTTTGAGCAAGAAATAAGCCTCTACTCTTTTATATCACCAAAGTTTCGAAGATGTTTGTTGCCACAACATAAAACAGTCTGTCTGATAATACATTCCAAAGGAATGTAAATTGGTTCAAATATTTTGGAAAACAAATTACATTGTTCAATAAAACCAAAATACATCCAGGCAAACTCACTCTTGGGTAACCTGAATATAGACCCTAGACAAGGGATGGGAAATTTTTTTTTTGTTAAGGGCAAGAAAGCAAATACTTTAGGTTTTGTGGGTCATAAGATTTGTGTTGCAATTACTCAGACCTGTCTTTGTAGTACAAAAGAAGCCCCAGACAATACTTACATGAACGTGCATGGCTGTATTTTAGTAAAACTTTATTACAGAAACAGGTGGCAAGGTGAATTTGGCCCATGAGTTCCAGTGCTATACTGAAGCTTATCCATGTATATAAGATGACATGTTTGGGAATATTTATAGCAGCACTATTTGTAATAGCAGTAAAATATAACAAACCCAAATTTTACCAAGGAATTGAAAAAATAAATTGTGGGAATTCTTACAAAGAAATATTATGTGTCAGTGAAAAATAAAACTGCAAACATCAACACAGATGAATATCACAAGAAATAATTAGCAAACCCAGGAAGCCACAGATACTCTTTGTATATAAAGTTCCGTTTACATAAAATTCAGAAACATGCAAAAGTAAAAACTATGTATGTAATGATGTATACTTAGCAAATGAGAAAATAAATGATGACAAACAGAAAATTTCTCCCTTCTTAGAGGAGGAAAGATTATGTTATCTGGGAGAAGTATACTAATTATTTTAAATTTATTTAAAATATTTATTTCTTAAGCTTAAAGTAGGCAAATGTTCTTTTTATTATTTATCTTCATACTTTCCAATAGTATACTTACTGCATGTAAACTATTTGACAGTTAAAATATTATATTAAACGTAAGAAATTCAATAAACAGAACTCTAGTTCAAATATTATTCACCATGTTTTATCTTTCTTCCCTCCTAAAAACTTCAGAAAATGATGTTAATACACTAAACTCCCACACGTGAAAAGAATGAAAGGTAGGGAATATATACATGAAAAGTTGCCATACGTTTCTGAAATTATTTAGAAATATGTTAATGATAAATTAACAGTTGAAGTCTAAAATTTTGGAGGACAAATTTCAGGAAAGGAAGATCTAGGTTGTTCAAAAGAATATCACAGAGAAAGAGGTACTACTACATGAGGTTTAATTGAAAATCTTTCTACCAGAAACTGGGCCAAGTTGAATTTTATGTTCCTGCTTTTCCCAAAACCTGGACGAACTCGAGTTTTATGTTCCTGCTTCTACCACACCACTTCTCTCATGAGTTGTTCAGGCATTTTTGCCCTTAAGCAAAAATTCAGGGATCTTATCTCTTGAGGAAGTTAATAAACATATTATGAAAAATTTATGCTTCTGGACATTCCATATAAAATCCATCTGGCAGCTAAGGGTCCCTTTCCTACTCATCCTGAGCTGAGGAAGAGAGGATTTGCTATAGGGCGTGTGCGCTCGCTAGAAAGACAGAGAGAGACAGAGGGACAGAAAGCAAGAAGTCACCCCCCAGGGAGGGATGGCCACACTGCAATCCCTTCTCCTTCATTCTCCTCCCGGGATCTTGAGCACTCACGTACACGCGCCCAGCGTGAGTTTAAGCCACTGGGTCTGGGATTCAAACTGTGGTCGACTACATAGGAGTCCAGCGACATAGCCACTACACCAACTGCTGGTCCTGAAATCTCTCTTTTTAAGGATAAAAACCCCCAATCTTTAAAAAAAAACTGAGCAAGATTAGATGCTAACGACACTGAAGAAATGCCTCCAAAGTTAGAGAAAATTTATTATAGTCCATAATTCTTACTTTTATACTGCACTTGATATTGAGTGCCCAACAAAAATTATTTTTAAAGCAGTAAAGAATCAGAAAAGTTACTATTTATTTATATTTTTTAAGAGAGATTTTTTTGCTATGAGGTATGTGCATTCACTGGAGAGAGAGAGAGATAGAAAATGAAAATCATCCTTGGGGGACAGCCACACCACAATCCCTCTCCTTCATTCTCCTCTTGAGATTTTGGTCATGCATGCACATTCACCTGGTGTGAGTTTTAAGTCGCTGGATCTGGGACTTGAACCAAGGTCAACAATGTGGGAATCTAGTGATATAACCATTACATCATCTGCTGGTCCCTTATACACTTTTTAAGGAAGTTACTTAATTATGTACTCTATTGAAATGAGGTAAAACCAAGAGAGAGGGGGACCAGTAAGTGGTTGGTGGGTGAGCTGAATTTCCACATGGCTGACAAGGGTTTGAGTCCTGGACCAGGTGACTTGAAACATGCCAGGTGCATGTGTGTGTGTATGCCCACAGCCCCGAAAGGAGAATGGAGGAAAAGGGATTGTGATGTGGCCATCCTCCCTAGAGGTGATTTCTCACTTTCCCTATTTCCCACTTTCCCTCTCTCTGTCTCTCTTAAAAAACTAAAAACAAATAAATAAACCAAGAATAGGGGAGATACAAAATACAATAAATAGTATAACACTGAATTTCAAACATTGACTTTGTAAGAAATAAAACCTTTATTTGGGATTCCATGCGGATTGCAAACCCAGAAAAGACTGAGCCAGAGAACTGAATCAGTTTTCCCAAAAGTAAAGAGAGCAAGTCTCTTTATGTATAAAAAGTTGTAAATTGGGAACCAGCAGTTAGCGTAATGGCTATGTTGCTGGACTCCCACGTAGTCAACCGTGGTTCACGTCCCGGACCCGGTGGCTTAAAACTCATGCCAGGCGCGTGTGCGTGCATGCCCAAGATCCCGAGAGGAGAATGGAGGAGAAGGGATTGTGGCGTGACCATCCCCCCGGGGGGTGATATCTTGCTTTTTGCCTCTATGTCTCTCTCTGTCTGTCTGGCGAGCGCACGCACCCTATAGCGAAAAAAACCTCTCCAAAAAAAATTTAAAAATTAAAAATTAAAAAAATAAAAAGTTGTAAATGACTACAAGACAATTAGCATTTTTTGAAGTGAAAGTTCTGCTGAAGTAATAAAATCTGTGACGGAGTTACATAAGTTACATGAGGTACACGAAAGTTAAGGAGAAATGGGAAATGGGAGTCTGATAAATCTTGGCCTTGACACATATGTGCAATTCTTCCGATGTCTTAGCTTAGGGTGTAGTGCCAAAGGGAGGTGTGTACTAGAGTATACTCCAAGGCATGCGTGAGCTCAGAATACATTCCTTGTTCATGTCTGAGCTCAATTTGTCTATTGAACTCTGAGGTCCATTTTGAACCAAAAGACTTTTTTATATTTCTCTCTTCACAAGCCAAAAATACAAAGAAAAGAAATTTCAATTGGGTAGTCTCATTGGTAATTTTTGATCCAAAACAGAAGAAGCAGAAAGGAGGCTGTGAAAACTGTTTCCAGGGACCAGCAGTTGGTGTAATGGCTATGTCGCTGGACTCCCACGTAGTTGACCACGGTTCGTGTCCCGGACCTGGTGGCTTGAAACTCACGCCGGGCACGTGTGCGTGCATGCCCAAGATCATGAGAGAAGAACGGAGGAGAAGGGATCGTGGCGTGGCCATCCCCCCTGGGGGGTGATTTCTCACTTTCTGTCTGTCTGTCTCTCTGTCTCTCTCTGTCTGTCTGGCAAGCGCACGCGCCCTATAGCAAAAACCTCTCCAGAAAAAAAAAAAAAGTGTTTCCAGATAAAAGAATGAAATGGATTCCTAGTAATATATATTTTTGGTGGAATGCAGAATAGTGTTGCCACTTTAAAACTATATGGAAGTTTCAAGACCAGTAGCTGGTGTAATGGCTATGTTGCTGGATTCCCATGTAGTCAACTGCAGCTCGAGTCCTGGACCTGGTGGCTTAAACTCACTCCAGGCACATGTGCGTGCATGCCCAAGATCCTGAGAGGAGAATGGAGGAGAAGGGATTGTGGCGTGGCCATGCCCCCTGGGGAGTGATTTTCACTTTCTGTCTCTCTGTCTCTCTTGTCTTCTGGCAAGCGCATGCACCCTATAGCAAAAACCTCTCAAAAAAACCCCCAAAATAAACAAAACAAAACAAAACAAACAACAGGGAAGTTTCTCAAAAAATTAAAAGTAAAACTACCATACAACCCAGCAATCTCACTTCTTGGTACATACTTGAAAGAATTAATATCAGAATCTGGAAGAGTTATCTTCACCCCTATGTTCATTGCCTAGTTCACCATAGCCAGATAAGGGGGTTGGGGGGACCCAAATGCCCATAAATAAGTGAATGAATAAAAAAAATGTGGTACATAAACACAGTGGAATATGATTTAGCCTTTCAAAAGACAGAAATCCTTCCTTTTTTATGAAACAAAAATAAACCCAGAGGACTATGCTAAGTGAAATAAGCCAGTCCTAAGACAAAGGCTACATGATCCATATATATGAGGTATCTAAAATCAAACTCATAGAAACAGAAAATAGAATAATGGTTAACAGGCATTTGGGGAAGAGTAAACAGAATTGCTGAGTATAAAGTTTCGGTCATGCAACACGAGTAAGTTCTAATGATCTGTCATACAATATAGTATCTATACCCAACAATATGAATCCTGCCCTTTAAAATATGTTAAGAGGAGAGATCTCATGTCAAGTGTTATTCCAGTAATTTATTTTAAATTTGAGTAATTTCAAATTCTGCCAACAAAAACTGAAGAACAGCAATATTTTGTTTAGATACACACAAAGCACAAAGGAACACAAGGAAATTTTTGGAGGTGTATTTAGTACCTAAATTATGGTGATATTATCATGGATGTATATATATGTCTAAACTATTAGAAACATATATATTAAATATGTGCAATGTTTTGTACATACATTTTATCTCAATAAAGCTTGAAAAACCAGTAGTAGACAAAATGATTAAAGAGATGGATTATAGGGGCCAGCCTGTGGCAGAGCAGTTACTTTGCTGGACTCTCACATGGCTGGCTGCTGTTTGAGTTTCTGGCCCGAAGGCTTGAAACATGCCGGGCATGTGTGCTTGTGTGCCAAAAATTCTGAGAGGAGAATGGAAGAGAAGGGATTGTCGTGTGGCCATTCCCCCCCACCACCCCCTTACTTTCTGTCTCTCCAGTAAGCACACAAGCCCCATAGCAAAAATATCTCAAAAAAATTTAAAAAGAGATGGATTATATTAGTGACATGGGGGAAGAAAGCATATGGTTTTCTCCTCAATAATAACATAAAATAGAGAGAAAATACATAAAAATAATAATCAATGAGGGTGGACTACTATATCCGGAAATATAAGCATACTTATTAAAAGCTATTCACCAGAATATTTAAAAAATATTTTTTCCTGAGAAGACAATTTACATGAAAAGATTCAGATGAATGCTATTTCTTATATTTAATAAAAACATTTATTTTCAAGCTTATTTGTTTCTTTTATGAGCAAGAGAAACAGAGAGGTAATACCCCCATAGCGTCTTGATGCCACAGTTCAACTTCAGTCTCAACCAGACCTGGATCACAGGCATATGAATGCCCAGCGTGCTCGGGAGGTCTCCATACACAACCCATGTGGGTCAGCCTCACAGAGTGTCATGTCTTATTGCTGCACCACCCTCTAGCCCGTTTCTTTTCATTTTAAGACCATCTGTACTACCTTATTTTTTTCTGTGTAAAGCATTATTTTGACTTAAAAACGGGCCACTAGTTAAGTGGCACAGTCAGGATTGCCTATTAAAGCCTACTTAGGTAATTTGTTCTTAAGTTTTCTTGGCTACCCAAATGAGAATTATTTAAGTTCTAATAAAATAAGGACATAGTGCCAACTTCTGTAAAGACTATGCTGCTATGTGAAATACTTACTGTCAACAGGCAGATTTTTCACCAACTCTGAAAGTTCCTTCTCTGTGAGCTCCATCCCCATGCTTTCTAGAACGTCTTTTAGTTCTCTGATATTTGCTTCGCCTCCTTCAAAAGAGACAGAAAAAAAAAAAGGAATTTATGCATTGTCTAGTGACTGAAAAACCTTTTTTAAATTATTTTTTTATTTTATTTTTAGGTTTTTGCTTGAGTGTGCTTGCTGGAGAAAGACAAAAAGAGGCAGTGAGAGGGAAAGTGAGAAATCACCCCCCAAGGGGATGGCCACACCACCTCCCTTCTCCAGTCTTCTCTCGAGATTTAAGGCATGCACACCTATGTACCTGGTGTGATTTACAAGCTGTCAGGTCTGGGACTCAAACCATAGTCAGCCATGTGGGAGTCCAGTGCCTTAACCACCATGCCACCTGCTGGCCCATAGAAAATATTTTTAAAAAATTATCTATCACTGGGACTAGCAGATGATGTGGATATTAAGGTGGCTGGATCCCACATAATTGACTGTCTGGTTTAAGTCCTAGACTCGGGGGCTTGAAAACACACTGGGTATGCATGCCTGTGTACCCAAAATCCTGAGAGGAGAAAGGGAGAGAAGGGATGTAGAAAGACAATCCATTATGAGGGGATGCTTTCTCACTTTTTCTCTCTGTCTCTGTCCCTGTCTGTCTCCAGCAATTGCATGCGCTCTATAGCAAAAAAAAAAAAAAAAAAAAAAAAAATTAAATAATTATGACTAATCAATATTAACCTCAACTGCCAGATAAACACAGGCAGAAAGAAGATCATTCAGTTAATGGGATTCAGAGAAAGAGGATTTTTTCCCTTAATCTTAGTAAATTCATTTATTTCATAATGATATACTCAAGCATAACACACAAAACAAAGTATATAAGCTTTTTAAAATTTTTAGTTTTTTATTATTTCTAAAAACATATTTTAACTATTACAATCTGTGTAATCTTCCAAAGTTAACTTCAGCATCATTTTGTTTTGTTTTAATCAATCTAAAAAATTCTTTAATTATGTAATGACCTTGTTATCACCCAAATTATGAAACTGCCTGTATCTCTACAGAAACGTCACTTCACAATTTACTGTGCTATCTGTAATTATTTTTAATGCATAAAGTAGCAAGCCATACTACTGGAAAATATTGCAGAGTATAAAATATTACTATTAACAAAGAGCACTTAAGATTTATTCATAAAATGTAGATAATACAAAGTGCAATTTTATTTTTTTTCTAAGTGCAGTTTTGTACTATTAGTCACAAATAAGAATAAAAGAGAATAAACAACAACGAAATAATAAATAGTATTAAGACTTAGAGTCTTGGACTTATAGCAACCCATTTCTCACCTGTGACATTTTTCACTCCATCCATCAATTCATTGAGATTAACCTTCCCAGTAGCTGTAAGAAAAGATATGATTAAAACACAATCAATGTCACAGACACAGAAAATGTCTAAATAAAATAAAATAGATTCCATCCCAAGTAAATTCTCTATTTTTTAATTGTTCTTTAGTTTTAATGACTACATTTTAGGGATTTATAGTATATTAGTAGAAGGCACTCTGTTCCTGGTAACAGAGTGTAGTCAAGGGGAAATGTGCTCATTTCTAGCTTGGAAGTCATCTTGTCTTATAAGTGTATTATAGTTAGATAGTGACTCTTGTCAGATTGATTGAGTCACACTTCCACCACAGCTAGAAATTTCAGCTAGGGATTTTTTAAGAAATTAGAAAGAAATGAATTTATTTATTTTTCCTTCTTTCCTGAAGTTCTTTAACATATTATGGCTATCTTAGAATGATTTTCCACTCTTTATCTCTTAATTTATCTCTTCATTCATTCACTCATTCAATAATTTACCTGTCTATCCATTAAGTATGTGTTGCAAACCTACTGTGTACTGTTCACAAGACCAAGGCAATGGGCTTTGAAAGATGAGTAAGACACTCTTCACCACCAAGGTCAGAGGTTAGATTTGGAGTCTGATATAAAGTTTTGTGAAAACAGTCAACTGTGTTGGGTACACCTAACTGCAATCCCAGGAAGTCAGATAAGACATCTTTAAAGGGGTATATTTTGAGCAAGAGGAGAAATTACGTGGATAAAAAATGAGAGACAACTTAAGAAATAAAAGAAAGGCATCCTGAATAATGCTGGGTTAAAAAATTTACATAGTCATTCTAAATATCTTAATATCATGTCCTGTATTTAGATACAGAGTATAATAAATAGGCAATTGAATAATACATAAGTAAAATGATGGCAAAGGATTCTGTGAACAATTGTATGCCAATGAATTAGATAATCTAGATAAAATTGACACAAATTACTGAAATCAAAGCAAGAAATAGAAAATCCAAATAGACCCACAGGAAGTAAAGACATTGAATTAATAATCAAAAAACTTCTCACGAATAAATTCCAGGACAATGCTTCATTGGTGAATTCAACCAAATATTTAAAGAAAAATTAATCCCTTCACAAACTCCTCAAAATAGAGAAGACAACAGAACACTCCTCTGGTCTATGAGGCTAGTTTTACTGAGAGAACAAGACTAAACAAAGGCATCACAAAAATAGAAACTAAAGGGCAATATTCCTTATGAATTTAGATTTATAAATTCTAAACCAATATTAATAAACTAAATCTAGCAATATATAAAAAGACAAGTGGGATATATCCTAGAAATGTAAGGTTGGTTCAACATATGAATATTAATCAGTGTAATACACCATGTTAATAAAATACAAAAACCACAAGATCATCCAAATAGAAGCAGCATTTGATGAAATTCAACACCCTTTTATAATAAAAACACATAATTAAAGACACTCAACAAAGTGTTTTAGGAATGAATGTAATAAAAAAAAGTTTGAAGCTTGTATTGTGAAAACTACAAAACATTGCTGAAAAAAATTAAAGACACTCTAAATAAATCAAAGAAAAATAAATATATCATAACAATATTCCAAAGATTAATCTAAAGATGCAACACAATGCTTACCAACATCCCAGCTAGCTTTCTTGCAGAAATAGACAAGCTTATTCTACAATTATATAAAAACTCAGAATAACCAACACAATCTTGACAAGTTGGGGAATTCACATTTCTGATTTCAAAACTTACTATACATCTCCATTAATCAATATACTATATGTATTTTAAAGCATTCCCCAGAAAAGCATTCCCAATGCTTATTAATACTATATTACATCTAAGTCTGGGCATCATGGACTCCAGTCTGTCTACAGATATATTAATAGACTATAATAGATAGCCCTGATCTGAAAAATTGGACAATGTTTTACTAATAACTGTCCTAAGAAAATATTGTTTATGAGTGCCCAGACAGTAGTCTTTATTTTTAAAATTACTTATTTCTTTAATTTTATCTATTATTATTTTTAATTTGAAATATGGCACATGCACTCACCAGAGAGAATTGAGAGAGGAATCAACAGATGGCATAATGCTTACATTGTTGGATTCCCATGTAGTTGACTGCAGTTTGAGTCCCAGACCAGATGGTTTGAAACTCACACTGGGAGTGTGTGCACATGTGCCCAAAATCCCAATAAGAGAATGGAGGAGAGGGGAATGCGGCATGACCATCCTTGCTGGGAGTTGGGGAATGGTGTTTGATTTCTTGCTCTTTGTCTCTCTCTCTCTTTCTGGCAAGTGCACATGCTCTATAGCAAAAAATCTCTCTAAAAATAAATAAATAAATAAAAAGAGAATCAAGAAATAGAGAAAGTAGGTTGCCAGGTCTGGGACTCAAACTGCAATGGCCATGTGGGAGTCCAGCACCCTAATTACCATGCCACCTACCAGCCCTGACAATAGTGTTAAAATACATGTTCCCACTGAAAGAAACCATGGTCTTTTGAAGAGATGGCTGAGTCCAGTTTTGGAATCAATTGAGCCTGAAACAAAGTAGCAAGGAAGCTTGGTAAGGCTATTAGTATTCTGTTAAATGATTTTGAATCCAACTAGGAGATTACACTGCCCAAAGATATACTATTAGAGCTTCACTAAAAACAAAACAAAACAAAACAAACAAACAAACGAACAAAAAACTGGATTAAGCTGAAACCTACAAAATATCTTTAAATCCATGAATTCATAGAGATGCATTCTTTCTTTTTTTAGAAAGATTTTTACTATGTGCACTCACTGGAGAGACAGAGTGAGAGACAGTGAGAAATCACTCCCTAAGGGGAATGGCCGCACCACAATCCCTTCTTCTCTGTGTCTGGAACTCAAACTATAGTCAGCCATGTGGGAGTCCAGGGCCTTAATATAGTAGAAAACAATTATTTTGAAAATTAATAAATATTAGGTTGTCAAATGATATTTTTTTCTATGCAAAAATGTGTCATGACTTTCCCTATGACCCAAGAGAGTGAATGAAGCATTTAATCTATCTTCCCTTTGTAAATGATAACAGTAGGAAATAAAGTGTAGATGAGGGAAGAAACTGGTAATAAATTAAAAAAGAAATGGAATGGGCTGGCAGGATAGAGGTTAAGGGAGCCAAGTCTCACATGGCCGACTGTGGTTCAAATCTCAGCTCCAGCAGCTTTAAAAACATGCTGGGTACATGTGTCTCTGTGTATCCCAAATCCTGACAGGATAGAGAAATGGGGAGAAAAGGACGGTGGTGTGACCTTGCCACACCGGGGTTTTTCTCTTTCTGGTGAGTGCCCGTGTCCTCTGACAATAAGAAAATAACAACAACAACGAAATGCCAATAGGTATATAAAAAGGTTCTCAACATTGCTAAACAACAGAGAAATCCAAATTAAAACCACTATGAGACATCACTTTGCAAATGTTTGGATGGCTATTATCAAAACACCAGAGATAAAATATGTCGGAAAAGATATGGAGAAATGGATCCCTGGTACACTGTGCAAATGTAGATTGGTGAAGCTATTATAAAATACAATATGGAGGGGCTGACAGGAGGGGTGGCATGGTCGTTAAGGTGCTGGACTCCCACTTGGCTGATCATGGTTTGGACCTCGCAGCTTGCTTTCTTTTCTCACTTTCTCTCTCTCTCACTTTCTGGGGTCAGATTTAAAGTAATAATAATTTTAAAAAATTGAATAAATCCTTAAAAATATAATACAATACAATATGGAGGTTTCTAAAGAAATTAAAAATAGAACTACTGTATGAACCAACAATTCCTCTTCTAGGTATATATTCAGAAGAGATGAAATCAATATATCTAAAAGACAAAAGTAAAAGATGTTCACTCCTATGTCTATTGCAGCATTATTATTATTATTATTATTAATTTTAACTCACAGGCAATCCCCTCTCCTTTGACACTGTGTTATTTGTCCTGGAAGTTAGCACATACGATTTTGTTTATGTGATAACGCCTGTTCAGATGTTGCTCAAAAACATGTTCCTGAATTAACCCACTTACTATAGTTTCATGCTTGTGACCTTAATTTAAATTTTGTGCATAATTAATAAGTGTAGTCTTATCAAATATTATGGTTGCATTTTGTTGTTGTTGCCATAGGACCCATGCATTCACCAGAAGGACACAGAGAGAGGGAGAGAGAGAAAGTAAGAAAGCAACTCATGGGACATGGTCATGCCACAGTATCTTCACCTTCACTTCTTTCAGAATTTTTGGCACACACACACACACATATGCCCAATGTGTTTTTTCAAACCACCAGGTTCAAGATGCAATTGCTCAGTCATGTGGAATCCAGCTGCCTTAACTGCCAGGCTATGGGATGGCCTGATTAATTATGTTTTAATATTTGTTTTGAGGTTTCCTCATAATTTTTTAGGAGCTAGCTAACATTCCCAGTCACTTTTATATCTTTAAGATAATAAGCTCATATTGGACATTTTGCTTCTTTATGAGACCACCTGATAGTGGAGATGAAATTCAACATCTGCCTCTGTAATACTCTCTGTAAGTTATACAGCCAAATGGTTGAAGAGTTACAAAATATAAAGTCACTGGCAACCAGAAAAGATTATGGAAGTTCTAGGACCAGTATTTGGCATAATGCTTACATTGTTGGATTCCCATGTAGTTGACTGCAGTTTGAGTCCCAGACCAGATGGTTTGAAACTCACACTGGGAGTGTGTGCACATGTGCCCAAAATCCCAATAAGAGAATGGAGGAGAGGGGAATGCGGCATGACCATCCTTGCTGGGAGTTGGGGAATGGTGTTTGATTTCTTGCTCTTTGTCTCTCTCTCTCTTTCTGGCAAGTGCACATGCTCTATAGCAAAAAATCTCTCTAAAAATAAATAAATAAATAAAAAGAGAATCAAGAAATAGAGAAAGTAGGTTGCCAGGTCTGGGACTCAAACTGCAATGGCCATGTGGGAGTCCAGCACCCTAATTACCATGCCACCTACCAGCCCTGACAATAGTGTTAAAATACATGTTCCCACTGAAAGAAACCATGGTCTTTTGAAGAGATGGCTGAGTCCAGTTTTGGAATCAATTGAGCCTGAAACAAAGTAGCAAGGAAGCTTGGTAAGGCTATTAGTATTCTGTTAAATGATTTTGAATCCAACTAGGAGATTACACTGCCCAAAGATATACTATTAGAGCTTCACTAAAAACAAAACAAAACAAAACAAACAAACAAACGAACAAAAAACTGGATTAAGCTGAAACCTACAAAATATCTTTAAATCCATGAATTCATAGAGATGCATTCTTTCTTTTTTTAGAAAGATTTTTACTATGTGCACTCACTGGAGAGACAGAGTGAGAGACAGTGAGAAATCACTCCCTAAGGGGAATGGCCGCACCACAATCCCTTCTTCTCTGTGTCTGGAACTCAAACTATAGTCAGCCATGTGGGAGTCCAGGGCCTTAATATAGTAGAAAACAATTATTTTGAAAATTAATAAATATTAGGTTGTCAAATGATATTTTTTTCTATGCAAAAATGTGTCATGACTTTCCCTATGACCCAAGAGAGTGAATGAAGCATTTAATCTATCTTCCCTTTGTAAATGATAACAGTAGGAAATAAAGTGTAGATGAGGGAAGAAACTGGTAATAAATTAAAAAAGAAATGGAATGGGCTGGCAGGATAGAGGTTAAGGGAGCCAAGTCTCACATGGCCGACTGTGGTTCAAATCTCAGCTCCAGCAGCTTTAAAAACATGCTGGGTACATGTGTCTCTGTGTATCCCAAATCCTGACAGGATAGAGAAATGGGGAGAAAAGGACGGTGGTGTGACCTTGCCACACCGGGGTTTTTCTCTTTCTGGTGAGTGCCCGTGTCCTCTGACAATAAGAAAATAACAACAACAACGAAATGCCAATAGGTATATAAAAAGGTTCTCAACATTGCTAAACAACAGAGAAATCCAAATTAAAACCACTATGAGACATCACTTTGCAAATGTTTGGATGGCTATTATCAAAACACCAGAGATAAAATATGTCGGAAAAGATATGGAGAAATGGATCCCTGGTACACTGTGCAAATGTAGATTGGTGAAGCTATTATAAAATACAATATGGAGGGGCTGACAGGAGGGGTGGCATGGTCGTTAAGGTGCTGGACTCCCACTTGGCTGATCATGGTTTGGACCTCGCAGCTTGCTTTCTTTTCTCACTTTCTCTCTCTCTCACTTTCTGGGGTCAGATTTAAAGTAATAATAATTTTAAAAAATTGAATAAATCCTTAAAAATATAATACAATACAATATGGAGGTTTCTAAAGAAATTAAAAATAGAACTACTGTATGAACCAACAATTCCTCTTCTAGGTATATATTCAGAAGAGATGAAATCAATATATCTAAAAGACAAAAGTAAAAGATGTTCACTCCTATGTCTATTGCAGCATTATTATTATTATTATTATTATTATTATTATTATTATTATTATTATTATTATTATTATTATTATTATTATTATTATTATTATTATTATTATTATTATTATTATTATTATTATTATTATTATTATTTGGAGAGGTTTTTGCTATAGGGCGTGTGCGCTCGCCAGACAGACAGAGAGAGACATAGAGACAGAAAGCGAGAAATCACCCCCCGGGGGGATGGTCAAGTCGCAATCCCATCTCCTCCATTCTCCTCTCAGGATCTTGGGCGCGCACGCACACGCGTCTGGTGTGAGTTTTAAGCCACCAGGTCCAGGACGCGAACTGCAGTCGACTACGTGGGAGTCCAGCGACATAGCCATTATGCTAACTGCTGGTTCCCACAGCATTAATTATAATAGCCAAGCTATGGATGCAATGAAAGTGTCTGTCAACAGATGAATAGGTAAAGAAATTAAGGTATTAATATATACAGTGGAACATTATTCAGCCTTAAAAAAGAGAGATCACGCTTTTTAACACAGATAAAACTTGAGGATATTGTGCTAAGTGAAATAAGCCAAACATAGAAAGAAAAATATTACATGATCTAACTTATATGTGGAATCTAAAAAAAAATGAAATATACAAAGATAGAGAATAAAACAGTGGTAACCAGAAGCAGGAGGAAAAATAAAGAGTTGCAGGACAAAGAATATAAAGTAACAGATAGGTACAGTGAACAAGTCTAGGGATCTAATGTATAACACGTGGATTACAGTTAATAAAATGGTATTAGGTATTTTTGTTAAGTAAGTAGATTTTAGCTGCTCCATCACAAAAAAAGTAAATATGTGAGATGACAGGCTAATTTGATTCACTATGTTAACCATTTTACTATCAATCTGTATGCCATAACTTCATGCTGTAAACCTCAAATATATATAGTAAAATATATTTAAATAAAAAGAGTAGAAATGGGCTTAAGAAATATTTGGTAGTCTAAGGTAATTAATTGGATACAGAATTTTGGAATAGTGATGAGGTAGGATAAAGTAAGAATCAGTTCTAGAAGATGTGGAATATGTAAGACAAAGGAAATTGCATTTTGGACAGTTGTTTGGGATGACTAAAATACATATGCCTTACAAGATTTAGGATTAAATAGTCTGAAGGCCAGAGGAACAAACTAGAAAGAAGATAAATTCATAAATCTTAAGTAAATAGATATTATTAAAAAGTAAGAGTTTATAAAATCACCCAGGGAGAACATATAAAATTAAAAGAGCAAATGAGCTCTTTTTATATTAGTTAGGAATGAAGGATTAGTGAGGATATAGTCACTTTTAAATTTAATGTGTACAATTTTTATCCTATGTTCTATTTCCTGGAAAAATATCTTGGATCCTCTGAAAATAATGAACATAACACACAGTAGCAACAATGAAACACACTGATAATTTTAAATATTTTTAATGAAGCAGAATTTTCACCATGTATATGTATATCAAAATATCATATTGTATACCTAAAATATATACAACAAAAAATGAAGCAGGATTTTTGAAAGAATGATTTTATTTATCATTATCATTTTTTTTTTATTTGACTAGACTGAAGCAGAGACAGAAAGAGAGAGAGGAAAAGAGAAAAAGCAAGCCACCAGGTTCAGGACTCAAATTGTACTGGGCCATGCAGAGGTCCAGTGCCTTAGCCATCTCACCATCTGCTGGCCTGAAGTAGAATTTCTTTTTTTTTTGTACTTCAGGAATTGGTTCCATCCTAAGGTACTCAAATTTATTTTTGACATCAAATAATCATTATTTCAAAAATTTTCACATAAAAGTTTACAAGCAAGAGGTTTGTAGAAAGACATAGTCATAGCCAAAGTGCTCACCATTAACTGGTAAATTATCTGCTAGGCGGTCAAATTCTTTTTCTGTGAGCTTGATTCCCATGTTACCTAGAACATCATCCACTTTGCTTCTTTTAACTTTTCCTCCTTAGAAAAAAGACAGAGTGAGAAAAATTACATATATGCTAATTTCATATTATTATATTAAAATATCTTATTAGTAAAATTTTTAAAAATCAGAGTAAGGGGGGACCAGCAGTTAGCATAATGGCTATGTCGTTGGACTCCCATGTAGTCAATTGCAGTTCAAGTCCCAGACCCGGTGGTTTAAGCTAATGCTGGGCACATATGCATGAGTGCCTAAGATCCTGAGAGAAGAATAGAGGAGAATTGCAGTGTGGCCATCCCCCCTGGGGGGTGATTGCTTGCTTTCTGTTTCTCTGTCTCTCTCTGTCTCTCTGGCGAGTGCACACGCCCTATAGCACAAACCTCTCCAAAAAAAAAAAAAAAAAAAAATCAGAGTAAGGTAAAGTACAATCCCTTTGTCAGTACTATTAATACTACTTATAAACATTAATAATTAACTTTAGATGAACATTGTATTAAAAAACATTAAACTTTATCTTGGTGAAACTATTAATGTATACCCAGGAAATCGTTTATAGAAGATTTCTCACCTAAATCCAAAGACACTTATCGAATGTAGAGGAGAGAGGAATTTTCGAGAATTTCCTCTTGCCAGAAAATTAGTACCAGTTTCCAGTGTAACTTTGAAATTACTCTACACATGATTTACTCATGTATGAAAACAGTTTAGGAGTAAAGAGCACTTTAAAATAGACAGTTGTATTAACAAAAAAGAATATATACTTATGTCTTTACACTACTAAAGATGATGTAGAAAGGACTTAAGTTTAAAACGTTCTGAAGCTTAAGCATAAGTAAATGTAGGCTGGGAGTGCATGGAGAAGAAAATAAAACCTAAAAACTACTATGAGATTTTTTTATAAGATAAAAAAATCAGGACATTATATAGGAAAATACATTTAAAATGACAGGAGCTAAATTTAAAAATTAATTAATAGAAAGGGTGGCTTGCTAGTTAGCTTTGATAATATAATTCTAAACCTTAAATCTCACATTACTTGTTACTTACCTTTAAAAGACTTCATACCATCAAACAATCGATTTTTATATATTTTCCCAGAAGCTACAATGCAAAGTACATTTTATGTCAAACAAAATGTGATGCAGAGGGTAATAGAGAGGTACATATATTCTATAATTTCAGGAAGAATTTGTGTTATTTACCAAATAAATATATTCCCATCTTATCCTCCAATAAAAAATAAAAAAAGAAGATTGGAAATGAAAACTATGACAAATTATTCAATTTTAAACACGTAACAGACTACTATGTTGATGTTTGTTTTTTCCTTTGACCTCTCTCATACAATTCTCCACCCATCATTTTTCTTCATTTCTTTCTTAGTGTAGTTTTGTTTGTTTGTTTGTTTGTTTGTTTGGCTAGAGCAAATGACACTAAAACTTTTACTTAGTCCCTAATGGCCCCTGTTAAAAGGAGCAAAAGGGGGTCAGCCAGTGACATGGTGGTTGGGCAGCTTGGTCCTACATGGTGGTGGTGGGGGGAGTTACATGGCTCGAGTCCAGGACCTTGTGACTTGAGAAACATGCTGGGCAAGTGTGCGTGCATGCTCAAAACCCTGAGGGAAGAATGGAGGAGAAGGGGTTAGGGCATGGCCATCTTTCCTGTGAGGGTATTTTCTCACTTTCCCTCTTTCTTTCTAGCTAGTGTTCATGCCCTATGGCAAATTTTTATTTTTTGAAAATGAGCAAAAGGGTATTTATGTAACTTAAACTTTATTATCCTAATAGTTTAGAGTATCTTTTTAAAATGCCAAGCAAAGAATAATTAAAAACCTCTCTCATTGCCCCATAAAATTAAGTCCTCTGGAAGGCAAGAAAGCCATGTAATAGCTTACCGTCAACTGGCAGCTTACTTATTAACTTCATTTGTTCTTTATTTGTTAGCTCAACTCCCATGTTGCTCAAAAATTCAGGTATATGTTGCACATCAATCTTTTGCCCTGTGAAAAATGTAAAATGTTATTATTAAAGAATTTTATAGAATAACTATTTCAAACAACAATGTAATAATGTTAAACAAGTTTCTTCCTAATTTAAGAAAGTTCAAAAACATAGTGACTATATATACATATATATTGGGTCATTGGAAAAGCCACAATGTTTTTCTATGCAAAAATGCATCATGACTGTTCCGATGACCCATATATGTGTGTGTACACACACGCGCGCGCGCACACACAGACACACACACACACACACACAGACTCTAGAGGAATAATATATAAAATATATTTTTTTGTTTAAAAAATTCTGAAAAGTATGATTTCTTATTCTGAGGATGACTCAAAGTAGAGGAAAGTAACTTTTACCTATGTAAGTGGTTAAGAGAAATATTAGAATTAATTTGTTTATGCATTTTACCAGAGAGTAGTACATATTTTTTATTTTGTTCTGAATTATGCTATTTGTTCTTGATACTGACAATAAAAAAGTTATTTTGCATTACTTGATCTATTCTGATTTGAGAGTCTTTTAATTATGTGTCAGGGAATGATACTGTTAAAACCTCAAGAAAACTTAAAGTTGTTGGTAATTTATAGATATTTAGTATTATATATAAAAGCAAACTGTAGGATATTAGAAGCACTTGTTTTAATAGAAACTGTTAAAAGGTAAAGTTTATAAATCAAGAACAGAATTTTAGGAAATGTTATTTAAAACTACACTACTGCACAAAGACTGAGGGTCTTGTTTACATAGCAACTTCTAACTCACCTGTAAAAGCTTTTAATCCACTAAACAACTTTCTCATCGCAACTTTCCCATTGACTATAAAAGAAATGCAAATAATAAAAAGAAATATTCATGAGACTTAAGAATAATATGAAAAGAAAAGATTCTAACACTATTTATGTCAGTAATGGTCTCTACTTCTTTTCTCTCTTTCTCTCTCTCTCTCTCTCTCTCTTTTTTTTTTCTCCTAGGTTTTTGCCATAGGGCATGTGTGCTCACAGGAGAGAGACAGAGAGAAGGAAAATGAGAAACCATCCCCTGGGGGAATGGCCACACCACAGTCCCTTCTCCTGTGTTTTCCTCTCAGGATTATTGGCACACATACACATATGACCAGTGTGATTTTCAAGCTACTGGATCTGAGGTTTGAACTGCAGTTGGCCGTGTGGGGATCCAGCACCTTAATAACCATTCTACCTGCTACCCTGCAGAAATTATCATTTTGAAGGATTACAGGTAGCATTTAAATCATTCTCCACCCTTAACATTCTTTCTCACTGTCATTTTCTATATATATTTTGCTCTAACTTTTAATTTTGTTGTGTTTTCACTCTTCATTATTTTTTTTTCTTTCCTCTATGTTGCTGATCTGGTAGTGAACCAGAAGAAATCTCAATCTTTGCTTAGGATTTAGGTGAAATAAATTGCATTGTGAACTCATGAAAATGATATAAAAGACAAAAATTAGTCACTCATTGCCTTCTAGACTCTTTTGTACTTGAAAAAATGACTACCTATGCCTAATAAACATTTAGTCTATGATTCTACAAAAATCCCAGATTTTCCTGAATAATTTAAAAATATCTTAAATGCTTACCATCACTGGGCAGGTTGCATTGTAGATCCTTAATTTCTTCTTTTGTTAGGCTCCATCCCATGTGTTTTAAAATTAAATCAAGTTTATTGACATCAATAATCCCTCCTTGGAAAAACAAGAGGAATGTGAGTAAGATCTGATACTCCAAAGTTCTTAATTTCTGTATATTAAAGGTCATAATTTTCAGGGGGAATGTCTAGACTCCATAAGACAAAAAAGGTCAATAATAGAGTTAAAAACAGAACCTCTTTGCTCAGTTACACAGTGGTAACAGAATTATCAAATATAAATTTTAAGTCACTGTTTAATAGTTCATAGCAGTGAAAAAGTAAAATTGAATTATTTCACTAATAAGTGGGCTCATCTTTATAAAATCAATGCTCTCAACTCATAAATTCCCTCAGTAATTTCCCTGTTCAGACACAGACTTTGCTATTTTCATTTTTGCCAAATATGGGGAAAAAATTTAAACCCAATATGGCTATACTTTGCTAACAAAATTACCTACATAGGAAGATGGGGATGGCATCAATACTTAAGTCAATTGGTCTAAGAGTCATAATTTAATATCTAGGAAATAGTATATTTATGTCTTAGATTCTTCTAGTTTTTCTTCATGTTTTTCACTTACCATCAAGAGACTTCAAACCATCCAGTAATCTATTCTTATAGACTTTTCCATTAGCTATAAAAAACATAAATCAGGCCATACACAAGTAAGTGATACAGAAGTTTACCAAGGCAGCAAAAGTCATAATTCAATGCAAAGAGGATTTTTAAAGTTTCCTAGAAAATTCCCAAGTTATTTTTAAGTTTAAAAAATGAAATGCCATCAATATGTTCACTTTATCCAATTGTTTGCACCTAAGAATGTTAATGCTGGCAATCTACAGTGATTTAACAAACATTCATTTTTTAAATTCCCTCTCAGCTCTCCAATTTCCTTTTTCTGCTCTTTTATGTAATACACAATTTAACCTTTAGAATTTTCTCTGTATGGAATTCCAGGTTATAAAATGTACTTCTTTTTTTTTTTGAGAGGTTTTTGCTGTAGGGCGCGTGTGCTCGCCAGACAGACAGAGAGAGACATAGAGACAGAAAGCGAGAAATCACCCCCCAGGGGGGATGGTCACGCCGCAATCCCTTCTCCTCCATTCTCCTCTCGGGATCTTGGGCATGCATGCACACACACCCGGCGTGAGTTTTAAGCCACTGGGTCCAGGATGCGAACCGTGGTCGACTACGTGGGAGTCCAGCGACATAGCCATTATGCTAACTGCTGGTTCCCTAAAATGTACTTCTTAAAGCTTCATGATAGGCTTTGTGAATAAAGCAGCAGATGATTTCCAAATTAAAGCTTCGGTAGATAGAATCATTAAAAAAAAAATCTTTCTTTAAAAGTTTTTATTATGGAGACCAGTAGATGGCATAGTGGTTACGTTGCTGGACTCCCACATAGATGACCCCAGTTTGAGTTCAGGACCCAGCAGCTCAAAACTCATATTGGGTGCATGTGCATGTGTGCCCAAAATTCCAAGAGGAGAATGGAGAAGGGATTATATGAGAAAGGATTGCACCCCTTGGGGGCGATTTCTCACTTTCTGTCTCCCTGGAGACACGGGCACTATAGCATAAATCTCTTTTAAAAGTTTCTTATGAAAAATTTTAAGCATATGCCAAAGTGGAGCAGGTTTGACCACTACATAAAATTTCTTCTAGGGTGAAATTGGATCATTCATTTTCTCTAAAAATTGTTTATAATATTTGACCTACATGAATTTACATAAATGCATAATGTATAAATTGGATGATATCATACATGGCTGTGCTTAGTCTTTTATTTGAGTCTTCTTTTCCTTCATTCATTAGCCTACAGGTGTAGCCACAAGTCTCCAGATAACTCATGGTAACAAACTGTAATCTAAATTTATATTATTTATATCTATCTAGAAATTTTATATGTATATATACATATATATAATTACATGAGACTATGATGACACATTCTGAATAATTTTTGAAAGTTTTTTTTTTTTGCTTTCATATTAGAAAGTTTGTAAAAGTTCTCATGAAGGATATGCTCCTGTAAAGACCATGTTATTATTTTAGGGGAAACAGACATTGAAGTGGAGGGGTCATGGAGAGCTCTCCCCAGCCTGTGAAAAATATTAAAGCCTTTATATAAACAGAAATAAAAATAATCAACAATGTCTGCCACTGAGGGAGACCTGAGTCACCACATGAAAGTAGTTGTGTGCATCCAGAAAACAAAAAAGAGTAGGCAGCTAGATTCCAAAAAGTAGTCCATGTTGTGGATAAACATATCTTAGTTTTTGATCCCAAGTAGGAATTTTTCCATGGGGGAAAAAAAAACCAAAACTATGAATTGAGATACTGTGAAGACACAAAATAAAGATTTTAAATTTGTATTTGATGCTGTTTTTGATGAAAGTTCAAATCAGTTGTAAGTTTTTGAACATACAACTAAGCCAATTTTGCATAATTTTTGAATGGATATAATTACACAGTACTTGCCTACGGTGCCACTGGAACTGGGAAGACTCATACAATGTGAGGATCAGCTGCCGAACCTGGAGTCATGTATCTAACCATTTTAAATCCTTACAGATCAATGGGTGAGATTAAAGGAGAGAAAGTATGTAGTACGGCAGTTTCTTGTCTGCAGATATATAATGAACAGATTGATGACCTCTTAGTAAATTCAGGGTCACTTGCTGTTCGGGAAGATGTTCAAAAAGGTGTGGTTGGCCAGGGACTGACTTTACACCAGCCTAAATCCTCAGAGGAAATTTTAGCTATTAGATAATGGAAACAAAACAGGACACAACATCCCACTGATATCAATGCTATATCTTCTTGTTCTCATGCTAGGTTTCAGATTTATTTGCAACAACAAAACAGCAAGCATCAATCAAAATGTTCATATTGCCATGATGTCACTCATTGACCTGGCAGGGCCTGAGTGGGCCAGCACTACCAACACTAAGGGGACCTGGTTTGTAGAAGGCACAAATATTAATAGGTCACTTTTAGCTCTTGGGAATGTCATCAATGCCTTAGCAGATACAAAGAGAAAAAAATCAGCATATTCCTTACAGAAACAGCAAGCTTACTCACTTACTAAAGGATTCTCTTGGAGGAAACTGTCAAACTATAATGACAGCTGCTGTTAGTCCTTCCTCTGTATTCTATGATGACACATATAACACTGTGAAGTATGCTAACCATGCAAAGGACATTAAATCCTCTTTGAAGAGCAATGTTCTTAACCTTGACAATCATATAACTCAATATGTAAAGATCTGTAATAAGCAGAAGGCAGAAATTTTAAGGTTAAAAGAAAAACTAAAAACCTATGAAGAACAGAAAGCCTTTACTGATGAAAACAAGGCAAAGTCAACAATTTCAAATCCTCAGGAAAAAGAAATGGAAAGATTTCAAGAAATTCTGAACTGCTTGTTCCAGAATTGAGAAGAAATCAGACAAGAATATCTGAAGTTGGAAATGTTACTAAAAGAAAATGAACTTCGGGACCAGCAGTTAGTGTAATGGCTATGTCACTGGACTACATGTAGTCCATGTAGTCCCGGACCTGGTTGCTTAAAACTCACGCCGGGTGCGTGTGCGTGTGCGTGCCTGCCCAAGATCCCGAGAGGAGAATGAAGGAGAAGGGATTGCGGCGTGGCCATCCCCCCCCCGGGGGTGATTTCTCGCTTTCTGTCTCTCTGTCTCTCTCTGTCTGTCTGGTGAGCGCACGCGCCTTATAGCAAAAACCTCTCAAAAAAAAAAAATTAGAAGAAAAAGAAAAAAAGAAAATGAACTTAGATCCTTCTATCAACAACAGTACCATACAGTACCATAAGCAAATAAAAATGATGTGTTCAGAAGATAAAGTAGAAAAGGCCACTTGCAAATGAGATAATAAACTTGCAATGTTGAAAACTCGTCGCTGCTACCTGGAGAAAAAGAGAGAGGAGGAACCGAAACAATTTGATGAGAATACTAATTGGCTCCATCGTGTTGAAATGAAATGGAACTGTTAGGTCAGAATGGACATATTCTGAAGGAACTCAGTAAAGATCTTCATTTTCATCATTTGCACCTCGAGAACAAAGATTTGACACGGATTAGACATATGATGGACCTAGCTTGTCTTTAAGAGCAGCAACAGGCAGACTGAAGCAGTACTGAATGCTTTACTTTCAGCCTTAACAAAGCAGTATTACACATTAAAAGAGGCTGGCTTGTCAAAGGCTGCTTTTGACTCTGATTTCAAAGAAATCGAACATTTGGTAGAGAGGAAAACAGTGGTCATATGGGCTGACCAAACTGCTGAACACCCGAAGCAAAGCAATGTGCCAGAGATGTCTGCTATTATGGCCTTTCCACAGCTTGGACCAGGTCAGGCTGTTTCTTATGGCACACCTTCAAGTGAACCCAATCTCCTTAAAGTTCCCCCACAAAAAAGAACTCGGAGAAAACTAACGCCTTCTCCCTCAAAAGCAAAACATAGACAGAAGTCTGCACCTTCAGAAAGTACGTAGCTCAATGATTCTCTCAGCAGAGAACTTCAGCCTATCGTGTATACTCCAGAAGACTGTAGAAAAACTTTTCAAAATTCATTTCCAGTGAATTTACTGAAACCATCATCACAGACTACAAGTTTTCAGGCCATCGGTTCGAACACAGTGACAGTTCTCTGAAAATGTTACGTGAAGTAGATAGCCCTCCTAAAAGGAGAGCAGGATGTGGACAGGAGGATCTGGACTCTACCTTTATTATCTGTGAAGATATCAGGAGCTTGAAGAATAAATTACCTGAACAAGAATCACTGCCAAACAACAAAAACATTCTGCAATGGGTTCATCCTACTTCATTCTCAACTAAGCATCCTGTGCCTATTTCAGGCGTAATGCTATCCTTCCTGGCTATGACAATCACTGCCAAAAGGAAACAGAAATTAAGAAGCTCTACATCAAATACTTTGTTCACTGCCAAAGTATATTCTGGGTTCGCCAAACGTGTTCAAGCAGAAAACTCAAGCAATAAGCACTTATAAGAAAACAGATAAAAAATGGAATATAAAAGAAATATCCACAAAATAAATCCAAGCATGGTTAGAAAATTTGGAAGAAACATTTCAAAAGGAAATCTAAAATACGTCACTTCAAAGTCAAGGAAAATAAAATTGATCAAGTCTGCTTTACAATGTGCGTGTCAGTGCGCTTTCAGAAATGTACTTCACATCTTTCAAAGAAGAGGGTTTTAAAGCTAGGTTTACCCAGATACTTCCAGCAAGCAGAGAATGCAACTCTGTTTTCTTCTTTTGTATTCTAAGCAAATAAAAAAAAATTTAATAGAAAAAGTTATGTTTCAGTTCCTAAAATAGTTGTCACCCTTTAAAATTCCCAAGTCAGCATGGAAGCAGCTTAGTTTTGCTATGCTGCAATAAGATGCTTAGGGCATTTTAGAAAATAACAACTTAGCCTTATTGTTTTTTGAAAAGAAGGAGAATTTAGAATTGGTAAAATTATGGACCACGATGTATTTGGTCTTCTATTTTTTTATACCTTATTTTGATCATACATACGACTTTCCTTTCCAAAAATCCTTTGATGTACAAATGTAGATAAATGTGCTCCTAAAGTTGTAAATGTTATTTAAATAGTCGTCTTGAATAAAATACTAATATTGTTCCTTGCTACTGGATGTATTAAAGATGTAGATTGAAATAAAAGACCATGTTATTATTCTAAATGCTTACCATTAACTGGTAGACTTTTTACCAGCTTTTCATGTTCCTTATCTGTAATAGTTATTCCCATTTCTCCCAGGACATTTTCCATACCATCAACATCAACTTCTCCTCCTTCAACAAAATCAAAATAATCACAATTAGCATAAATACCTAATGTCCCCAAGGACCTGTTGATGCTTACTCAGTTTTTTTTTTTTGGAGCGGTTTTTGCTATAGGATGTGTCCACCCATCCACCAGGGTGATGGCCATGCTGCAATCCCTTATCCTTTATTCTCCTCTTGGGATCTTGGGCATGCACACACACATGCCTGGCATGAGTTTAAGCCATTGGGTCTGGGACTCGAACCACACTCGACTACATGGGAGTCCAGTGACATAGCCATTATGCCAACCGCTGATCCCTCCTCTAGTGTCTTAATGATGATAGAATTTTTTACTTTATGAAAATTTGTTGTAATGTTTGTTATACTAATTTAAATTTTGGCTAATTTAAACTAGTTACATTTTGACTAATTTAAATTAGCTAAACTTTGGCTAATTTAAATCAAGAATAGTGACCATCCTTCAAATATCCCAGAATTAAAGGACTTTGCTATCAGAACTTTGCTCCCAAATTTAGTGCTAAAATACAGTTAATCTAAAGTACAATTCCAGGAAATTACATGCAAGAAGAAGTATATAAGAAAACGAACTTAGAAAAATATAGTATAATTCAGACTTTATATTTATAGTCATTTCTAACTAACCTGTGATAGTTTCCACTGTTTCTAGCAATTTACTGAATTCAATCTTCCCATTAGCTGTAAAAAAAATCATAATTAAGATAAAACAATATTACAAGAAGAAAAAGAAAACTAAAATAAGAAATAAGGTTCACTCACAATTTAATTTGAATCAGTCACAATTTTACACACAGTGATGACAAAAATTCATTTTCTGGTAGCTAAAAGGTTAGTTAAGAAAATGATCTTCAAGTCATAACACTTGTTGGAATGTTCGAATGGGCTAATATCATTGGTTTGGCCTCTAGAATGTCTTATCTCTAATACAAACCCAAGTTCTTTTCAAGATTTATGTTGGAAAAGAGTTTTCATCCTTCAAATTTTACCTTTTATTAATGTTTTTCTTAAGTTATTTTAACTACTAACTCAGAATGGCTGATGATATGTGTTCTCAATCTCTTGTTACCAACATATCTATAAAATTTGGATAAATATTTATACCTTTCTATTTTCAGGAAAAAGAAACCATTAGTTAGGACTAGAGAGTTATGGAAACGCGGCAGTTTCACTACCAGAGAGCACTAATGAGGGTTAGTTATACAATTTACTAGACGAAGTGCAAAATCAAAATGTGGTACCCCTTTTCCAAAAAAAAAACATGAAAAAAATAGCTTGTCCTCTGCAGTCTCACTCTAACATCTGGTTGCTGGTTTTAAGTCTACTGTCAAAATAACTGTCAGGGTGAGTGAGAATCTCATAGGTACCCTGTGTTGTCTCATGACTCAGTATGCAACAGACTCACCTACAGAATTCCTTCATTTGTCTGCTGCCAAATGGACACCCTTGAGGAATGAGTTAGATACCTCTCTCTTTTATGCTCCCATCACCTCACTCAAGGCAAAGAGGTGACTCCCAAAAGTACTGTATCTTAATGCAGGGCCACACTCAGTACTTGAAAGGCTTGACTCTGCCAACTGGTCCATGGCACTGATGGCCCAGCGCAGGGAAGGCTGTTGCTGTGCTTTTCAAGATGCCATTACATCCAAGTGCCCAACGCCAACCCTCTCTGCACAGATGCCTAGGTCTCTGCTAAGGGAAAGGATGGTGACGGTTACTAGGCAGGGGTGGTGAAAAGAATGTCTGGAAAGAAAGAAAAAAAGAAAGAAAACGATGTCTGAGGCATTATGGGGTGTAGAGCCATTGATCCAGAACCCATCCTGGAGAGGTGACAATGAACAAAGGAACACATCAAGCTCTAGTCATGCTTTATTTCTTCACAGGACTTAAATTAGGAAATACAAATTCAAAGATAAACTTAGGAATTTCAAGACAGCAACTACAAAGGATTAAATCCAAAGCATGACACTCCTTTGATCTAGAGCCCTGTCCAACTGTGCTAACTGCACACCATGAAGCTTGGGATGAATCCCCCACGGTTATATCCCCAAAACTAGATATCAGGAAGTCCCACTGTGCAAATACGTTAATTGAAAGACTCAAGAAGACTGACTGCATGAACTACAATTTCTCTTCTTAGAGATTCAAAAAGTTTCTAGATGACCCTTTAAAATGTAATATGATAATGAATCACAATATAGTAAGTAGTAATCTTAAAAAGAGACTTTCAGTAACTAACTTGAAGACACGAGGCTGGAATGAGGAGGTAACAGAAAAGTTGAGTGTGTTCAAGAAGAAAGAAGCCTAACCATAAATCTATTCTGTATGTGAGACAATTTCCCCACTGTATAATTTAAAATTTGTCTAGGTTGTAGCTTGCTTCAGGTTCTTTCAAGAATTATTTCTCAACTGGGGACAAAATAAAACTTTTTTCTGCTTGTGGTTTGGCTTGTTACATGGGAATATACTGATAGCTATCTCATAAAGACTGAGAAGTAGTTCTAATTGATTTATTTTTTATTCGATTGGATTTAGTTCTAGTCACTTAGTACTTCCTAGGATTGTGCTAATTGGCTTGAAATCACAAGATGTATATTTTAGGCAATCGTTAATTAGTTTCTACAACTTCCAATTGGAGATGGCTTGTTTGATTTGTTTTTCAGTCTACTTAGCCAGTTAATTCACTCATTGAGTACTTAAGGACTGTAAAATGTTCTATGCTATGCCATGGAAGTACAGTGAAAAGAAAAAATTAGTTAGGGTTCTTGCTAACAAACAACCCTATGTTTTCAATTGATTAAAAGACTACTGTTTATAATACAATATAGTAAGCATTAATATAATGATACAAACATGCTTAGTATAAAACAAAAGAGGAGGGCAGGGAGAGCAGAATAGGCTATCTGAAGGTGTTGACTAAGCTGAGAGTATGGATTTTTCAAGTTATATGTATGTAACTATATATGTAGCAATATGAATTGAGAAGAGAGAAGATATACAATGCAATGGTATACCATAAGTATTAAGTGACAAAGGCCATTTATTCACTTGTAGAAAAAAACTTTTATTAAGATTCTGCTAAATGTAGATATTGCGAAGAAATACAACAGATGCCAAAACAGCACAGTCTCTGCTGTCCAGTAGCTCAGATTTTCATGGAGAGACAGACATCTCAATAGGCATTATAAAAGAAATGAAAGAAATTTTCTACTCATTGAGTGAGGTGACTGACATTCCTACTACCATCCTGGAATGCTGCTCACACACATGGGGGTTCAGATAAATCAATTTGAAAGCAGAGCAAAGTGAAAGACAAGAAGTAACAAGAAAGCCTGGAAATCAAGACATGACACAGGAGAACTTTCTAAACCTCATGCTTGGACTAAAGAACTTAAATATTTTTGTGGTCAATAGCAAGCCACACAATGGATGCAAATGGGGAAGTATAACCTTTACATTTTAGAAGGAACATTCTGGTAGCTTTAGAAAAGATGGATTTAAAGGAAAATAACCTATCATTAGAGAAGACTTCATTTAGAATTAATAGAATGTTAGCAGTAAGGGAGAATGAGGAGTGAGAGTTAATGCATAACATTCTAGCTTGTTTAAATGGAAAATGACAGTTCAGCCTACTGAAAGAGAAACTAATGTATGTCAGAAAAACATAAAAATAGTTTTATACGTGGTAAAAGTAAGAAAATGTATAGAGACTTAGGCTATATTGATCCTATTTATGTTTTTTTTTTCTATTTTTTTCCTTAATAGGTAAGATGGTGATCTGAAAGTCTCTGACATAGACATAAAATTGTAAATATCCCCTGTGAAAATATGTAAAAATGAAATGAGTATTAGTGATTTAGGAACAGAACTGGTTGAGAGCCCAGACGTGGTAGCACATACTGCTAACACACTCTGTTTCATAGGCTGGAACCACATGGGATGCCTGAATTTAATTCCTGATCTAACACAAAAGCTGGGTATAGTGACGTGTGCCTTTAACCCCAGCAGGGGGGCTGGGGCAGAAGGATCAGTACTGTGAAGACCTTGTCTTAAATAAAAAACAACAAAAACTAGTTGAGGAATGACTGCTTGTATTTTTTTTTTCTAAAAATTATTTATTTTGGGACCAGCAGTTAGTGTAATGGCTATGTCACTGGACTCCCATGTAGTCGACCATGGTTCGAATCCCGGACCCGGCGGCTTAAACTCATGCTGGGCACGTGTGCATGCATGCCCAGGATCCTGAGAGGAGAATGGAGGAGAAGGGACTGTGGCGTGGCCATCCCCCCGGGGCAGGGGAGAGTGATTTCTCACTTTCTGTTTGTCTCTCTCTGTCCTTCTGGCAAGCACACGCCTTATAGCAAAAAACAAAAAACAAAAGCAAAAACAAAACTCCAAAAAAAGAGATGATTTATTTTCTTCATCATAGAGAGTACATGCATGAGCATATGAAAGAAGGGCCGAGAAAAAGAGAGAGAGATAGAGAGAGAGATCACCCTTGACAGGGTCTCACTCCATTGCAACCCCCTCCTCCACTCCCAACATACACATTAACAGCTCATCAAGATTTGGGGCATACATATACATGGGTACCTGGCATGTGTCCGGTCAATTTGGCCAGGAATTTGATCCCACAGTCAGGCATTTACTGACTGTGCCACCTAGGCTGGGCTGAGGAATAACTATTTAGTGAGTTATGACTATTCCAAAATTCTCATTGTGCTCTATATGCATTTCCTAATTTGAGAGTGGTCATGACTATTTTCTGTGAATACAGAGAACACAGAGGAAAAGAAGTTAATGACTATGGATTTTTGGGAAAAAAAAACCCATGCCCTATTCTTATATACCTTATTCTCTCACGTATGAAAATTAAATTAAGAGATAGGTCTTATGGCCAAAACCAAAACAAAACATTAAAAAAACACCCAAACAGATACTTACCTGTCAATACCCGTGCTTCTTCCCAAAATGTAGAACTGCAGATAGAAGTGGATGCCCAGTAAAATATTACATTTCCACTCCCTCTCCTCCAACCCTTGCATTTTCATGTAGCCATGACTACAGAAACATTTCTGGAAATTGTCACACCTCCCTCCTTCATGGGCTTATCTCCATTCCATCAATTGGATATAAGTAATGAAAAGCCCTACGTCCCTTTGGAGGGACCCAAAAATGGAGGGAATCTGGAACCTTTCATAGATAGAAAAGAGCCACTTCCCATCAAACAAAATTAGTCTCAGAAATTTTTATTTTGTTTAACACAATAAACACTTTTTAAAGTTTATTTTTATTATTCTTATTAATTTTTTTAAACATTCAATCGCTATACGTCATTTGGCTTGTAAAGAGAATTTACCCAACATGAAATACATGTCAGACCAGTCAAGAATATTATACATGTTATCATCAACAGGTAATAAACCATTTTTATGTCCCACAAATACAATAGACACATTTTGAAGTTTAATTGTTCAAAATAAATATTTAGCATATACTTGATAAAGCAAAACAAACATGAAGACATTAGTCTGGGTTGTTTCTGTACCTGGAACCTATATACAAATAAACCAAAATCTTAACTTAGAGGCATTCCTTATAATTGATTGATTTTTGGAAAAACAACCAAACAACCAACAAAACAGCACTCCCCTTTCCCAAACTAAACCCTGTTTAAGCCAATCACAAACAGCCAACTACCCACCAATCTCAATAGCCATTAGTTATGTAGTAGTGAGATATCGAATATGGCAAATGCCCAGATGTAGTCAATCAATTCTTTTACTTCAATACTTCCACTAGTCATTCCTTTACTTTGCTTCAACTTTTAAAAGTCTGCTGCTTGTACACTGATGATGTAGAGTTCTCTGAACTTATTTTGGCTCTGACTCCTCGATTTGTGAATTTGTAATACTCAAATACATTCCATTAATTTGTGTTTACAGTTTATCTTTAACAATTACATTCTCTGCTCTGAAATTAGGACTAGTTTCTCTCTTATCTTTGAAAAAATAACTTTTTTGGTATACCAAACATATATATATATATATTTATTTTATTTATTTTTTTTTGGAGAGGCTTTTGCTATAGGGCACGTGTGCTCACCAGACAGACAGAGACAGAAAGATAGAAAGCAAGAAATCACCCCCCAGGGGGGATGGCCACACCGCAATCCCTTCTCCTCCATTCTCCTCTCGGGATCTTGGGCATGCACACACACGTGCCTGGTGTGAATTTTAAGCCACCGGGTCCAGGACGCAAACCGCGGTCAACTACATAGGAGTCCAGCAACATAGCCATTACACTAACTGTTGGTCCCAGTATACCAAATATTTTTAGTTAGTATGTATTGCATTACACAAGCAGACAATGTCAATTTCTTTCTAAGACTTATTGTTATCCATAATGCTCACCACTAAGTGGCAGATTTTCTGTCAGATCTTCATGTTCCTTTTCTGTGAGTTTGATCCCCAGGTTATCCAGAACAGTATCTAGGTTATTGACCATAACTCTTCCTCCTTAGAAAAGAAAGAATTATGAAGAAAAAAAATCAAATTTTGTATATATTTAAGCATAAATTTTTATCTAATATGCATTTTAGTATAATAAAAATAAAGAAGCATGTACATTTTATTTGTATTAGTGAATAAACTTGTAAGGTCAGCTCAGTAAATCGTTATGTTAAGAACAACTCGACATAAAAATGTTCCAAAGTTGAGGCATTATTTAAGGGACTGTTATTGTGTGTTTAAAATTATTATCTGCAGTATTAAATTAGAACTATTGGTCAAATGAAGGAACACAAGAATATCAATTGTAAGGTTGTTCCAATGAGGCATATGAGAATACTGTGTAGGTTTAGAAAAGTCAAGGCACTCTCTTGAGAGTTGATAGTTTGGGCTTCTTATCATCAATGTTCTGCTTTATTGCTACATCTAAAAAGGAGATTAAAAATTGTAGTATACTGCTCTATCAAGAGTATCATGGGGACCAACAGATAGTGTAATGGCAATGTCGCTGGACTCCCACGTAGTCAACTGCAGCTCGAGTCCTGGACCTGGCAGCTTAAACTCAGGCCGGGCACGTGTGTGTGCATGCCCAAGATCCCGAGAGGAGAATGGAGGAGAAGGGACTGTGGCATGGCCATACCCGTTGGGGGGTGATTTCTCACTTTCTGTCTCTCTGTCTTTCTCTTTCTAGCAAGCGCACGCACCCTATAGCAAAAACCTCTCGCAAAAAAAAAAAAAAAAAAGTATTGTGACTAACATATACACCATAAAATGTGCAAGGAATGGTGCTGACTGCCGTTATTGCAAGTGTTTGGAATGTCAGGAGGCTGATGGCAAACTTTAAGAGACTTTCCTGAGACTACTTAAGAAGAACTATAACCATTTCTCTTTTCCTTCCTATTCCTTTCTCTTCTTTTATTCTAAGGACTGATTGGAAGAAGAAATAGCAAAAAAGAAATTAGGTCACTATCTCATACTATTTTTTACTTTTTTATTGTTGTTGTCATTAACTGATCTTTGAAAAAGATTATATCATGGAAAATAATATGAAGAATCTTGATTCATGGAATAAAATCATATTAAAAATCACCCCAAATCCTTTATACAATAGACTTCAGTTGGGCAAATTCCCAGAAAAACTGTCTAATGTTCTTTCTGCTATATTCTGTTTATAGATTTCAAAAGATTCTTTGGGTATGTTATTTAGAAGTATTCAAGAAAGAATGGATTCCTTGCAATGATATAACATAGCTGATTATATCAAAGTAATAAATGTGATAAAATGAGCAATCTAAACATAGAAATGTATAAAAGATAAGCTTAAAACCTAGTGGTATTGGGGCCAGCAGATGGCATAGTAGTTAAGACACTGGACTACTATGTGGCCAACCGCAGTTTGAGTCCTGGACCTTGTAGCTTGAAAATCATCCTGGGCCCATGTACATGTGTGCCCAAGATCCCAGGAAGAGAATGGAGCAGGAGAGATTGTAGCCGTGGCCATTCCGCCTTGGGGGTGATTTCTGATTTTTCCTCTCATCCTCCCTCTCTCTCTCTGGGAGCACACATGCCCTACAGCAAAACCTAAAAAAACCCCTACTGGTATTGAGCCAGCCCCACAGCCTACTTGGTTAAGGGAAGCAGATCTCACATGGCCGATTACAGTTTGGGTCCCACCCTGGCAGTTTGAAACACTCTGAGTGCATGTGCATAGTTGTCTAAAATTCCAATAGGATGGAGAAATGGAGGAGAAGGGATTGCAGCATGACCATATCCCATTATACTTTCTGTCTGTCTGTCCCTGTTTTTCTTTGATGTGCAGAAATGCCATCTAGCAATTAAAAAAGAACAAAAACCCAAGTGGTATAGATGTTATGTGTTGATTTATTTAGCAGACAGTTATGCTCTTATGCTTTACCTACCTTTCATAGACTTCACAGCCTCCAATAGTCTGTTCTGATACACCTGTCCTGCAGCTATTAAAAAAGGCACAATTTATATCCAAAGGAAAAAAAATATAGATGGCCACAGTTATTGTGCAACTGGATATTTCTAGTAAGAGAGTTTTATGTTTTCCCTGAAAAATCTGTCCTATCTTCCCATTAAATAAAAATTGCCTTAGTGACAAAGATGTATATATTCAATAAATGAGAAAATTGTTGAGAATACTATTATGCAGAAACAAAACTTACTTCTTTGCGTCCCTTTTCCTTTCCTCTTAATAGTCTTGTCCTACTCAGTTTCCTTTCCTTCAAATCATTTAGGCCTCAGAAGCCCATCTGGATAAGCCCATCCTGTTACATTCATATCAACTCTGATGGAAAAATTTGTGATTGAAGAGCTTGGTGACTCCCAGATTAAATCTATATGGCAAAGAACTTGCCTTTTCCTAGTCATTTTCAGCACTTCTTAGCAAAATAATTGGAGAGACGCTATTACAGAACTGCTTACAATGACCCTCAAAACTGAGCTCTGTGGAAAGACTACAATGGTTTTTGTGTGGCTCACCATCAATTGGTATTATTTGTTGCAAATTCATACATTCTTTCTCAGTGAGCGCAATCCCCATGTTTTCCAGAACTTTTTGCAGATCATTGGCATCAACCTTTGTTCCTTTCAAAAAGATAAGAACATTAGTACTTGGTCATTTGGGGGACTTTCTAATGATTTAAAATAAAAAGATTCATCATCTGCACTATATCATCTTCAACTTGAAGTACTGAACAGGTAGAAAGCGACACACAGAGCTATAAAGAATTATAGGGGAATTGTGAACAGAACACAGTCCACTAACTTCATAAAAGGAGTATTTTCTTAGTGGTGGATAAGCGTGCATCTAATGAAGAGGAGCAATAATTCGGCTGTCAAGATTGCCCAGCAAATTAGAATAACGGAAATAATTAAAATTCCCACCTCCCCAATGTTCATAGCATGGGAAATTAGTATTTGGGAGGTAGAACTTTAAATTATGTGATTATTCTCTTCACAGTAGACTAATAGTTTGATCCATGTTAAGGTTCTAATTTGCTATTTTCTATGCCTCTCAATATATAAGTTATTTGAATACCAGTGAATTAAATCATATTACTGGTTTATTAAAATAATTTCTCCAAGTTGTTTAACAAAATACAAAATTTTAATTATATTGTTAAATCTAGATAAGGTAAAATCCAAAAAAGACTTTAAGATTATGTATTTGATGGAAAAGTAATATAAGACAAAACATGTCAATTTGTGTAAATTGATAAAATATAAAAATTAACACAGTTTTATTATAACTTGACACTCACCAGTAAAAGCTTTCATTGCATTCATAAGCTTTTTCATTTCAACCTTCTGATTAACTGTTAAGGAAACATGTCAATCAAATACAAACATATCACTAACATTTATTAAAAATATGAAATAAAAAGAAAACAATATTTATATAGTCTACAATTTATTTCTATATGTATTTCTCTTATGAGTACAAAGGTCTAGAGTATGATTAGTAGAACTTTGATTCTTTGCGCTATAATGAATTAAACCTCTAATAATCAAAAGTAAATTAAAAAATTAGGTCACCTTTTCCCACAGACTCCACTGTTTTCTTTCATCAAGCAAACAGAACAGGATTTACAACTTCCATGTACGATATAATAAGTTTTCAATTTAGATTTTAGAAATTACCTCCTTATGTAATGAGTTAATACTTAGTAGTTATTGACGGTCCCTGAGACAGATTATCTTACTTCTTTGCTCTATTTAAGTTACATAATAATCACCCCATTGATTAATATGAGACATTTTATAAAGTAGAAGCTCAATATTTATTTGTAAAATTAATTTTAAAAATATACTAAGATACAGTCATTTTGGTACAAGTAGAGGGGCACTGCTGTGCAATGTTAGAGCCATATGGGAAGGCCTAGAGTTTGGATCCTTTGTTGACCTAAATGATCTGGGTGCATCCATAGTTCTGCAGAACTTGTAGGGGATTGTGGTATGGTGAGACCCTGTTGGGTGTCCCTGTCTCTGTCAAGAAATAATTTTTAAAAATTGAAATTAAAGCATGTTACTTAGAATTAACTCAGAAATTGAGAATATTTTGTAATCTCAGATACATGATTTCCTTTATTTGATAAAAAGATTAAGAAATGTTATCTCTATTGTCATTTGTGAAATTTCCTGGATATTTTTGCCAGTTTGTAAATAATAAGCATTCAAGCAGGTTTCATATAATTGAGAAGTTCTAATATGAAGACCATAATTTAAATTTTTTTAATTTAATAGGTTTTCTAATCAATCATGCTGTAAGTAACAAAAATGGCCAGAAGAAAATACTAATTGGCCATGGTATTACCAAATCTCAGCTGAGAGGAAATTTTGTTCTTCATTTTCTATTATAGCTAAAAAATCTAGTAGGCCATTATTAACTTTTTTCAGCAGATTACTAAAATGTAAATATCATTCACATACCACAAAATTTATTAATTTAAGGTGCACAGCTGCATGCTTTTTTAGTATACGCATAAAACTGGGCAAATATCATCACAATCTGATGCTAGAGCATTTTCAGGACCTCCATGCTCATTTCCATTCGCTTAAAGTCACAACTCTCAGCTCTGGGAATCTACTTTACTCTCTGTCTTTATTCATTTCCCAATTTTGAATAAATTGAATCATACATTATGGGGTCCTTTGTGAATGGCTTCGTTCACTGATCATATTTTCATCCATCTACTGCACTTCAGCCCTCATTCAGTTTTAGCTATATTTCAAAGTTTGTTTCTAGATCATCAAGGGAAATGCCTGAGAATACTGACCTTGAACCATGGAGCTGACATAGAAGTGGGATATTATATAGTTTTGTAATAAGGAAGGATTCCACACATTACGGCTCAAATGTTGGATGGCCCTTGACTGAGAACCAGAGGGATCATGATGGTAAGGAATGTGTTCCTCATGTTAATACTCTTCACCTTTGACCAGCTCTTTCTCTTCCATTTCCCATTTTCCCTGAATTGACCTTCTTTCAGGCTGTTTTTCTGCTACTCTGCTCCAATTGTTTGTGTTTCCCCTCACTGTTTATAGCCCTGACAGTCCTGCACATATGCTCAGTATTAAACAAGTAACTGACAGAGGTTAATAAAATAACAGGAAAGAATATCACCTTATTTTCTGAGTTCAAACCTAATTTTTATAAATGTCTTCTTAAAGACAAGTAAGTTTTTTCAGAGGTGATCATGTAGATGTTCACATTCTCAGGTTATCTTGAGCAGTTCAAAGATTTACATGCTCACCGTCAACAGGCAGGCTCTCTCTCAAATCTTGACTTTCCATTCCTGTGAGTTCCATTCCCATGTTTTGCAAAACAGTGTCTAGTTTAGTGACATCAACAACCCCACCTTGGGTAAAAGAGAGGAATATAGATAAAATGAATAACCACAAAATGAGACAAAAGTTATTAATTACTGTGCATTACCGGTGTTAGTTTCACCATGAAGACTAAGGTCCAACAAGGTAAAACACAATTTTACAAAGACTGTAACAAAAGAGGAATTCAAATTTACATCCTTGAGTTGGCCCAGTAACTTACTGGTTAAAGGAAGCTAGAACCCACATGGCCAACTGCAGCTTGAATTACAGTCCTGGTTGCTTGAAAAACATGCTAAGTATGTGTATAAGCAAGCCTCAAACCCTGAGAGGATGGATAAATAGAAGGCAAGGTGTTGTGTTATGACCACATCCCCCTGGATTACTTATATAAAGGAGAATCCATTTGCACAGGGTAAGAAGAGAGTTTCTTGAAGAGTGGATATTAATAGCTAATGCCCTGTGGTAGGGAAGTGCTTGACACATTCTAGAAATCACAAGGTCATTGTGGCCAGAATGATGGCAGTCAGAAATGAAATTAAGAGTCAGATAATTTTCACCATTGTAGGTCAGTCAGGGAAAATTCTGTTCAACACCTTTTTGTCATGTTTAAGAAATTCTTCCCTCTATAACATCAAAGTATTTTTTTTGTACTAGCAAACTATGGCCCTCTGTTTAAAAGTGATATTTTGTTAGAATATAGCCACATCATTCAGTTATATATTGTTTATAGCTATTTTCACATTAAAATGGCAGAATTGAATAGTTGCAATAGAGACTATGTGACTAGCAAACCAAAAATATTTATTATTTGATTTTTTTAAAAAAATTATTTTATTTAACTTTATTTATTATCTATTTATTTAAATTTGACTGGAGAAGGACAGAGTGAGAGAGAGAGAGAAAGTGAGAAAGCAAGCCACCAGGTCCAGGACTCAAACTGTGGTCGGCCATGTAGGAGTCCAGTAGCCATAACCATTCCACCTGCCAGTCCTATTATTTGACTCTTTACATAAACATTTTGCTTGCCTCTGTGTATTTTTTCCTTCATGACATGTCTACAGCATGGAAAATATTAGAAGTTTCATGTTATTGAGAAACTCTGACACTTGCAGGCCTTAAAATAATTGATACCTGGAACCAGCAGTTAGCGTAATGGCTATGTCGCTGGACTCCCACGTAGTTGACCACAGTTTGAGTCCCAGATCTGGTGGCTTAAACTCACGCTGGGCACGTGTGAGTGCGTGCCCAAGCTCCCGAGAGGAGAATGGAGAAGAGATTGCGGTGTGGCCACCCACCCTGGGGAGTGATTTCTCGCTTTCTGTCTCTGTCTTTCTCTGTCTGTCTGGCGAACACACGCGCCCTATAGCAAAAACTTCTCCAAAAAAAAAAAAAAGAAAAAAAAATTGATACCTTTATTTTTTCCAGAATTTATTATAGCACAATATAAGAATCAAAAAAATTTTTTCTAGGACAAATTTGTAGCTCATGTGATAGCATACTGGATTGTAAAACTTAAGACACACGCTGACTGTAGTTTGAATCTGCTGACTGTAGTTTGAATCCTCGGCCCAGGTAGACAAAAAAATACACTGGCTATGCAAACAAGTCAAGGATCCTGTCAGGCTAGAGGGCTGGAAGAAGAGGATTGCAGAGATATCAAGACTTGTGGAAGGTGTCTCTCTCTCTCATGCATGCTTATGTGCTCTCTCATGAATTTCTTTCTTTAAAATTGCTTTTTGTGTAGATGAACACTATGTCAGCGTTTGTCTGAGCAGTTAAATCTTTTCCCCTTGCTTTGTAAGAGACATCTTTCATGTTACCAACTTCCCATATATGCAAGGGTCAATATCTGGGCTCTCTATTATATTCAATCAGAATATGCACGTGCCAATAAAATACTGCTTTATTTATTACCCCTTTATACTTTCTGTATCTCCCTATTTTTTTTTCTTATTCAAAATTATCAGTTCCCCTGGACTTTATCAAATACTTGAGGTGAATTTGTAAAGTTACAAGAGGAAAAAAAAATGTGAGCATTTGTTAGAGTTTTCATTTAATTCATACACAGGCACTCTTACTTAACAACCAAGTTCTGGGGGCCAGTAGGTGGCATGGTAGATAAAGGCACTGGATTCCCACATGGCCGATTATGGTTTGAGGCCTGGACCTGGTAGCTTGCTTTCTCGCTTTCCTTTTCTCTCTCTCTGTCTCTGTCTGGTCAAATTGGAAAATAACAAAAAATGGAAATAAATAAATAAATAATTCTTTTTTAAAAAAGGCGACAACAATCAAGTTCTGTTCCTAGGACTAGGTTGTTAAGCAAACTGATCAATAAGCAAGGAGCTTAAAGGTAGAAGTCTTGTGGTATGGCATGGCACTATATGGTATGTGTATTTCAACACATGTGACACCACTCTAGAATAGTGTAATTCTATCCATACAAAAAGCATAAATTAGAGGGCCAACCAGCAACATAATGTTTAAGGCACTGGATCCCACAAGGCTGACAGCATGTTTTGAGCACTGGACTTGCTGGCTTGAAATCATGCCTGGCACATGTGTGGGTGCCCCAAATTCCAAGAGAATGAAGAAGGGATTGAGGCATGACCACTCCCCTTGGGGGTTGATTTCTTACTTTCTTTTTCTCTCTTTTTCTCTTTGTCTCTTTCTGACAAGAACACATGCCCTATAGCACATTTTAAAAAGAAGCATACATTAGACAAGCACAGAAAGCAACAAGACACACCAAAACACAATAATATAAACTTGACTTAATAATTTTTATTTATACTGAATACTACTATGATTGCACAATAAAGTACAAATTTAGAAATGCAGTATGTAGTCTTGTATGATTGCCAACGTTTCATGTAGTGAATACTAGCCAATGGTGGGAATGAGAGAAAGACAGAAAGGGAATTCCTACGCTGGAGAACGGCCATAAGTCCAAGCATTAAACAGGTAGGTTATTAAGGAGTGACTGTATTAAACAGGAAAAACATGATATATTCACATTATTGAGTTTCCCTATTTATGAACACAGTTTCCTACTATTCCTAGTTTGTGTGTGTGTATGTGTGTGCTTTCTTTCAAATTATGAATGAATGAATGGCCATATGCTTTTCTGGATCTCTTGGCAAGGTCACATGTTTTTTCTTCTTTATTCTGTCAATATTGCAAGTTATAATGATTGTTTTCTAATGCTGAAACAATCTTACATTCTGGGATAAACTCAATTTGGTCATGATAAATTATTTTTTATATATACTATCTAGATTCAATACTCTAATATTTTAAGAGGAGGTTTATATATATGTGCTCAGGCATGGTATTGGTTTGTACCTTTTTTGTAAATTCTGGTACTTGACTAGTATAGATTAGTGTAGGTCTCATGAACTGAGTACAAAATGCTTATTCTAATTTTTCTACATAAGTTTGTGTAAAGCTGGTATCATTTAATAATTTTTTACCTTAAAAACTTGGTAGATTTTGCCTGTGAAGTAATCTGTACTTTAAGTTTTCTTTGTTAGAAGATTTTTTGTATGTGTTTTAAGAATGGCCTTTTTTTTTTTTTAAGAATAATTTTAGGTTAACAGCAAAATTGAGGCGAAAGTAAAGGATTTTCCACATATTCCCTGGAGTGCACATATATAACCTCTCTCAGTGGCGTCCTCCACAAAGATGGTCCTGCTTTGCCATCCTGAAACTTCCCTGACAATACCAGGTACACATGTCTGTGATCTAGGCCCACAGAAATTGGTGATAGATGACTCATGGCATGATGGCCCTGTTAGGACTAACTTTCTTTCACTTATGGAAGAAAATCAATAAATGAACTTTAAAATTATGGGGCCAGCAGGTGGCACAGTGGTTAAAGCACTAGATCCTAGATAGCCAACTCTGATTTGAGTCCCATACATGGTGGCTTGACAAACACACCAAGTTGGAGTCATCAGGTGTGTGGTGGTTAAGGTGCTAGACTTCCACATGGTGGACCATGTTATGAGTCCTGGACTTGGTGGCTTGAAAATTACATCAGGCACATGTGCATGTATGCCCAAAATCCTAAGAGGAGCTTAGAGAAGGGATTGTAGCATGGCCACCCCCCGGGAGGTGATTTCTCACTTTTCCTCTCTCTGTCTCTCTCTCTTCCTCTCCCTCTCTTTCATGAGTGTTCATGCCCTATGGCAAAAAGAAAGAAAGAAAAAAATGCTGGGCACATGTGGGTGAGTGTCCAGGATTTCAGAAAGAGAATGGAAGAGAAGAGACGGCAGCACAGCCATTCCTCCTGGGAGGAGGGGGATGTCTCATTTTCCCTCTCTATTTTTCTCTTTCTGATGAGCACGCATGCCCTATGGCAAAATTTAAAAAACAAACAAACAAAATCACCAAAATAATTTCTATCTTCTATGCATTTAATCATTTAAAGCATACTTACTTGTAGTCCTTTGTACCATATGAAGTCTTTGGGTTCAGCTCTTTTCTTATTTATTGTATCTACTGACATTAACTGTAGATGGAACATTTTCAAATCTTTTGTAATTTCTTAAATTCAAACTCATTTTAGGAAGGATTTTATATGGATAATCTTATGACCATAACATGAGGATTAATTCTCAGAACACTATAGTTGCTACAATCTTGGTGCTAGTTTTCTTGTTAAAAGAAAGTATTATTTATTTCATTTTATTAATTATTATTATCATTATTTTTTTTTAACTTGACCAGAGAGAGACAGAAAGAGAAAAGGAAAGAGAAAGCAAGCCGTCAGGTCTAGGTCTCAGACCACAGTTGACCAGGTGGAAGTTCAGTGCTTTAATGCTTTAACCATCACGCCATGTGTCAGCCCCCTTAGTTGTTAGCTTTTTGTTAATTATTTGGCTTGTGTGTTCCCGGATTATGCAGGAGTGTAAATATGAACTGGAACCCATAGTCATGAATTTTCAGTAAAGGCTGTTCATCCACAGACTCAGAATCTGGAATGAAACAATAATCTTTTCATTTCCCCATGCAAATGAGACATTTTTCTAGCTTACTATTTAACTAAATGTGATATCCTTCAAAGATCATGCTCTTGTGAGGTTTTCACTTAAATCTTAAGGTTAAAGAACAATATAGGAGACCACTCTGGGAAAAATATTAATATAATTATACAGACACACACACATGCACAAATATGGTGGCAGGGTTATAAATACAGAACATTCCAAACACAAATATTTTCATATTCTCACTCACCTTGAAGATTTTTCACACCATCCATCAACCTGTTCTGGTACACCTTTCCACTAGCTGTAAGAATGACACAAATCAAACTAAACCAATGAGAGATTAAGGCAATATGAAAATCATAATTTCAGAAACTCAGACATCATAATTTACCCCCAGTAAAGTCTGACTTACTTGCAAATAACGGAAAACAACACAGAATGGATAAGGCTCTGAATGTGGTTCCCTGGCACCTGAGGGAGGTTATTATTACTAATACTTCACTATGTTAAAACACATGTGTCTTTAATTCTCCTTATCCTCCCTTTAGCTTTTCCATTTTTTTCCTTTCTAGTACATTCTCAACCATTTTGCTTTCCTTTATTTCCCTACTCAGTCTTGAGAATGCTTTCTCAGTGGAAACAAATCCAAGAGACTTTATTTTTTATCTTTAATTTTTTATTTCAATTTCTTTTATACATTCAATCACATGTTAATTAGCTTACAAAGTGAACATTCCAACATGTGTACATTTCTCACCAGTCCAGTTGACAATATTATAATGTTATCTTCAATAGATAATAACCCATTTCTTTGTCCCATAAATGCTTTGCCTCTCTATGTTTCTCCTTCATGTCTTTCCTCAGATTCTGCTCCTTCATTCACTCTCTTCCCACACTGTATCTGATATTAACAACCATTTATATACGGAATGAGTCATTGAAGGACATGATTTTATAAACGAAAGGGCACAATAGGGATTACTTCCTAAGGTATAACTGCATTTCTTCTAAAACTTTTCTTTTTAAGATATCAAAGGTAGAGAGTTATGGAAGGTCTTAAACATATTCAGAACTCTAAGTTCTTTAAGAGCTACATTGTTACTTTGAATACTCACCATCAACTGGCAGATCTTTCTCTAGCTCCAAGCATTCCTCATCTGTGAGCTCTATCCCAATTTTTTCCAAGTTATTTTTGATTTCACTGACACTAACTTCTCCTCCTTCAAAGAACAAAATGTATGTAGGTAAGAGTTTTGACTATACCTAAAACCTCCATAGTATAAAAAACCCAAATCATATGTCTGTGCAGTAACAACTTCAACAGCTATATGAACAAAGAAAGTATCATAAGATCTCTGTATCATCAGTCATCCTGGAAACAGAATTGTTTCCTTAACTTCCAATTTAGTATCTGTGATTACATAGTAAGGCAACGTAATATAAGACATAAGCAGTTCTTGGGATTTCTAAGTTATTTAAGGTATCATAGATAATTGATCCAAAATCAGTATGTCTATAAGTACATTAGTTTAGGATTGTATTTTGTAAAACATAGGCTAAACCTTTTTTTTTTTTTTTTGAGAAGTTTTTGCTATAGGGCTTGTGCACTCACTAGAAAGACACAGAGAGACAGAAAGTGAGAAATCACCACCCCCCCAGGGGGGATGGCCATGCTGCAATCCCTTCTCCTCCATTCTCCTCTTGTGATCTTCTGAATGCACACACATCCAAGCGTGAGTTTAAGTCACTGAGTCTGGGACTTGAACCGTGGTCGACTACATGGGAGTCCAGTGACATAGCCATTACGCCAACTGCTGGTCCCTAGGCTAAACATCTTAAGGTATGTCACTGTAGATGAGTATTTCCTAAGTAGAGATATATGTATTAGGTAGAAAGGAAAGGAGGGACCAGCAGATGGCATAATGGTTATGTCTTTGGACTCCCATGTAGTTGACCACTGTTCAAGTCCCAGGCCGAGCAGCTTAAAACTTATGCTGGGTGCATGTGCGTGTGTGCCCAAAATCTCGAGAGGAGAATGGAGAAGGGAATGTGGCATGGCCATCTCCCTTGGGTGGTGATTTCTTGTTTTCTGTCTCTCTGTCTCTCCAGCAAATGCATGAGACCTGAAGCAAAATCCCTCTTTGAAAAAAAAAAAAAAAGAGAAAGAAAGAAAGAAAAGAAAGACCAAGCAACACAGGTTGAACATTCCTAACTTAAAAATTCAAAATCTGAAATGCTCCAAAGTCTAAAACTTTTTGAGTATTGATATGCCTTAAGTGAAAAACTACACCTAACTTCATGTTATAGGTCATGATCAATGCTGCAATATAAAAATCCTGTATAAAATTACCTTCAGGCTATGTGTATAAGGAGTATAAGAAACATAAGCGAATTTTGTTTAGACATGGCAGATGTCTTCCTCAAGATCTTATTATGTAAATGTAAATATTCTGATATCTTAAAGAATTTGAAATCCAAAACACTCTGGTCCCAGGCATTTCGGGTAAGGGATACCCAACCTGCATCTATTATTCATAAGGCATTAAATATACATGAGATGCCTGTTCACTAAAAATCCCTGCTTAAATATATAAGAGATTCTAAATAATTATGATACAATAAATTTGCTTAGGAACTAGAAAAGGCACTAAATATCAAGGATATGGTAAATATTCATGAAAATCATTATTCAAAAGACTTTAATTTGGCCTCCCATTGATAATATCAATTTGGCCCCATCTATTCACTGCCTAAGAAATACAAAACCTGGGGCTCAGTGGTTACCTTAACTGGAAAGCCACGATTACTTGCCAGGTTTATTTGTCTTCATGTTTCTCTGAAAGAGCAGTTTGTGTCATTAGCCACAATACCTTCTGTGAACCTAGCTACTTGTACAGCCACTCTGGTCCTTATAAACACAACAGAGAAAACCCATGCAGTAGAAAGAGACACAGATCTATAGCATACTGTATATGCCAGATTTAGCTAGTTTGGCCTTTCGTGCACCCGCCCTTAAGTTTGTTTATTTATCCCATTTTCCTCCCTTGCTGTGCGTTTTAAAATAATTTAACAAATGTGTTTGTTAGAATATTTTAACTATGTCTATTAGTGTTTTTATTCTGTGATCTTTAGGTTAGCTTGCCTGATTGTGTACTTGGTGGCTATGAATTGCAGCAAGGTAATTGCCTTCATGATGTCTCAGATTATGTATAGTGAAGTATAGTTTGGAATATATCTCAGAGAATAGAGAATTTTCTATCAAGGCATTGAACTGAGATATATGAAATGTAGATAATTTGAAGTTTGAATGTTTATGTAATTTACTATACAACAAAGGAGTAGTTGTAATAAAGGAGGGTTTTTGTTTTGTTTTGTTTTGTTTTGTTTTGTTTTGTTTTGTTTTGTTTTTAAGAGAGACTTTTGCTGTAGAGCACATGCGCTTGCCAGAGTAACAGACAGAGAGACAGAAAGTGAGAAATTATCCCCCAAAGGGAATGGCCACTTCACATTCCCTTCTTCTCCATTCTCCTCTCAGGATCTTCAGCAGGCACACACATGTACCCAGTGTGAGTTTTGGCCACCGGGTCCAGGACTCAAAACTTGGTTGACTATGTAAGAGTCCAGTGATATAACCATTAGGCATCTGCTAGTCTCAAAGGAGGCTGTTAAAAAAAAAAGTTAGGGCCAGCAGGTGGCATGGTAATAAAGATGCTGGATTTCCACATGGCCAACTACAGTTTGAGTCCCAAGCCTGACGACTTGAAAATGATGCTGGGTACTTGTGTATGCATGCCCAAAATCCTGAGAAGAGAATGAAAGAGAAGGGATTGTGGTGTGGCCATCCTCCCTTCCCTTGCTGGGTGATTTCTTCCCCTACTCTGTCTCTCTCTGGTGAGCACTCACACCATCTGGCAAAAACCTAAAATAAAATAAAGATGTACTGTAAATAATAATTTTTTTTTAAAATTACTTAAGGGCAGCCCCATAGTGTAGTGGTTAAGCCCTGTGTACAGAGAGCTGGATCCCATGCAGCAAACTGTGGTTTGCATTCTGGCTCTAGAGTCTTGAAAAACATGCCTGGCTGGTGTGTGCTTATGCCTAAAATCCTGATGGGATGGAGGAATGAAGGAAAAGGAATTGTGATATTGGGGGTGCTTTATCTTTCTCTCTCTCTTTTCTCTCTGTCTCTGTCTCTCTCACACATACAAGTACATGTGCCTTTTGGCACATAAAAATAAAATAGTAATAGTAATAAATTTAAATTAATTTATCATAGTGGCAAACTGTAAGTGTTTAGAAAACACTAGAATGGGGACCAGTAGTTGACTTAATGGCTATTTCGCTGGACTCCCACGTAGTTGACTGCAGTTCGAGTCCCGGACCTGGTCACTTAAACTCAAGCCAGGTGTGTGTGTGTGTATGTGTGTGTGTGTGTGTGTGTGTGTGTGTGTGTGTGTGTGTATGTGTGTGCCCAAAATCCTGAGAGGAGAATGGAGGAGAAGGGACTGTGGCATGGCCATCCCCCTGGGGGGTGGTTTCTTGCTTTCTGTTTCTCTCTCTTTCTGGTAAGTACATGCACCTTATAGCAAAAACCTCTCTAAAAATAAGAAGAGACTAGGATGTAACATCACCCTATCTGAAGTCAAGTTCTTGAAGTCAACAAGCTTTGCTGAAAATGCTGGTTAGAGATAGTATTTTAGGCTTTGTAGAACATATAATTGTTTATTACAACTACTTTGCTCTGTAGTGTGAAAACAGTCATCAACAATACATAAACTAATGGGCATGGTTGTGTTCCAATAAAATTGTTTACAAAAACAGTTAGCAGATTTGTCCCAAGGGTTGTAGTTTGCCAATACATATCCTAGGCAATTAAATAAATATACTTCCTGAATTAAATAATAAAATGGTAGACTAAAAAGGCAGATAAGTGATAGGAATATAGCATAAATGTAGAACTTAGTGTAAGGATTCAGGTCTTAGATTTATAATAATTCACTTACCTGTAACAGCTGCTACTGCATTCATCAATTTATTGACCTCAACCTTCCCACTGGCTGTAAGAAAATTCAAAATAAGATAACAATGCCAAAGAGTCATACATAAAATGAGCAGAAATGAAGGTAAATCACATAATAAGAGACAAACCAACATCCACTAGTTCCACAACTTTATCTGACTTAACTATAACAATATAAACTCTGGGGACCAGCAGTTAGCGTAATGGCTATGTCGCTGGACGCCCATATAGTTGACCACGGTTTGCGTCCCGGACCCGGTGGCTTAAAACTCACGCCGGGCGCATGTGCGTGTGTGTCCAAGATCCTGAGAGGAGAATGGAGGAGAAGGGATTGTGGTGTGGCCATCCCCCCTGGGGGGTGATTTCTTGCTTTCTGTCTCTCTGTCTCTGGCTGTCTGGCGAGCGCACACGCCCTATAGCAAAAACCTCTCAAAAAAAAAAAAAGAATATAAACTCTGTATATTATATAAGGGGGCTTCAATAAGTTCATGAGAAAATAGAAGTATGAATTTAAAAATTTTTTAGGGAGATTTTTGCTATAGGACATATGTGCTCACTGGAGTGACAGAGAGAATGAAATGAGAAATCACCACTGGGGGCATGGTCACACTGCAATTCCTTCCCCTCAATCTCCTTCTGGGATTTTAGCCATGCATACACACGTACCCAGCATTAGTTTCAAGCTGTTGGGTCCAGGTCTTCAACCACAGTTGACTGTGTGGGAGAGTCCAGTGCCTTAACTGCCACATCACCTGCTGGTTCCTAAAGTATGAGTTTATTATGGCTCAAAAAATTTGAAATCCATGAATGTTTTTTGAAAATACATATTTTACATGTATTTCTGGAAGACCCCCACCTATGTAAAGTCCACATTAGCTAAAGGAGTGTTTGTCCCTTAGAGGAATGGAGTCCTGACTCTACCTCTTAAATGTGTAGACTGCCTTTCTACTTTCTAAGAATGGTGAAAGATCCCAATGATGCTGATTTGGCTATGTACCAACTTCTCAGCTTTGGTCCAGCCCATCTGTCAGATACACAAGTTAATGGAAAAAACAGAAAGATCATCTTTCTTATCTTCAATTTTAATCCTAATATACTTTTCTCTAGTTTCTTTGATCATCACTACTATTTTGGGATTTTTTTTTTTTTTGAGAGGTTTTTGCTATAGGGCACGTGTGCTCGCCAGACAGACAGAGAGAGACAGAGAGACAGAAAGCGAGAAATCACCCCCCACGGGGGATGGTCACACTGCAATCCCTTCTCTTCCATTCTCCTCTCAGGATCTTGGGCATGCACGCACACACGCCTGGCGTGAGTTTTAAGCCACCGGGCCCGGGACGCGAACCGCGGTCGACTACGTGGGAGTCCAGCAACATAGCCATTATGCTAACTGCTGGTTCCCTATTTTGGGATTTTTGATCATGTAATTGGTGATCTTTATTTTTTCTATTAAAACTGTATTTATTAAAGTAGATAAGTATCAGAAATAGGCAGTGGTAGAGTGATAATACAACTGGATCCACATGGAAAGGCCCAGATTTATATTCTAGGGCTTTCTTGTTCACATTGGAAAGGTACACAAGTGCCTATGATCAGGACTGGCTGAAGCTGGGGGTAGATCATGGCATGAAGACTCTGTTGGGGATGCTCATATCTTTGTCTGTCCCTTTGTCTCTATCTCTCTTTTATGGAAGAGATAAATAAACTTAAACATATATAGCTATTTCTGCCTGGCCTTTAAAGAAGGAAAGAATAGACATTTTAGATAGTTCCAATAATTGAAAGGATTTATATTAATACAATAACAGGTACAAAGAGGACTCAACAGTTCATTGAAAGCTAATGGGTTAATCAAAATTCTACCATAATGAGCTAAGCGTACAGACTTGCTCCCTGTGTCCCAGAGCTTCATGAAGATTTTATGTAACAATCTTTTCTAAAAAAAAATTCTGTCTTGCTTTGTTTTTACACATTTATTTACATTGGTCATGATTTTCAAGCCACCCAGTAGGGAATTTGAACCAGTCAGCCATATGGGAATCAAGCACCTTAATCACCACACCACCTGCTGACCCCATGTAACATTCTTAATTGTAAAAAAAAAAAAAAAAAAAAAGTAATAAATTACAAAAAAATCAGTGAACTGAAGAAAAATATTATGCCTTATTGGGCATAAAGGTTGAATTAGGATGGTACTAGGGGGATGTTTTTGTTTGTTTGTTTGTTTGTTTTGTTTTTTGGGGTTTTTTTGAGAGGTTTTTGCCATAGGGCATGTGCAATCGCCAGAAAGACAGAGAGAGACAGAGAGACAGAAAGTGAGCTATCATCCTCCAGGGAGGATGGCCACACCGCAATCCCTTCTCCTCCATTCTCCTTTTGGGATCTTGGGCACATACACACACACGCCTGGTCTGAGTTTAAGCCACCAGGTCCGGGACTCGAACCATGGTCAACTACATGGGAGTCCAGTGACGTAACCATTACACCAACTGCTGACCCCACTAGGGGGAATCTTAAGTGAGTGAGTTTGTTGACATTAGACAACAAAAATATCTATATTCTTATTGGTTCAAGCAAATTTTAAGTGTATTTGTTCTAGGATAATCAAATAGGAAGGAGGCCATATTTCTATTTCTATATTGAATATGAATTAGTATCCTTTGATGTGTCATTATAAAGTGAATATACTTTTACCATGCCCTCTTTGGAAAACAAAAAATTGTTTTTGCATGACAGATGACTAGAAAATAGTCCTCTGACTTGATACTATTTAGATTAATGATTAGAGTCCTCCAGTTGTATACCACTCAATTGGAATGTGGGGTTCAGCATCTATTTGAGATTCCTCTTAATGGCTTTCTGACACTTTGCACTAAATGTATTTTTTCATTGTTTATTTTTCACTTATTTTGTCTGGTATCTTTGATCATTACATTATTCCATTCATTCTCCAAAGATTTATTTCTTCTCTGTCAGGTAAGGAAAGACAAGGATATAAAATCATGTAGGCATGGTTTCTGCCTATGAGAAAATCACAATTTATAAATAAGAAAGACTGATATTTTTACATCATATTGCTAATGTAATGATACATGTATGAAACTAAGACAAAAGGTAAATTGGCTTTGATTATGGAAGCTCTGGGAAAGGTAAACATTGTTATTGGTCTTCCAGAAAATTTAAGTTGGCAAAGTAAATATGCCTAAGTGCATTTGTTCTAGGAGTTGGGGGTTATTTGAAATAGGACAAATGGACAATCAAATTAGATTTTATAGTAAACATCTGACAACAAAAATATCTGTATTTTTATTGGTTGAAGCGAATTTTATAAAGCATCTACTAAATTTCAGGTACTAGGAGGAATAAAAATAAGTTTAATAGTAAGTACAGTATAATCTCCGCCTTTGAGTAACTTAGTCTCTGGTGTGAGAAGGACAAATAAATTTATTATAATACAGTAACTGGATTGAGGCAGAACACAGTAAAACCAGAGAAACTTCTTGCTAACATGTACCCATTTGTAGCAACTATTTTGCAATGGGTTGAGAAGATTCCAGAATAAGAACTTTAAATTCTGTATACATTTATTACTTTGATTTAGATATTTCAGTGTTGATGGACAGCAATATGGAGGAAGAGAATGGAAAAAGATAAAATGTAAAGGCAGATCCTACAAGATCTATGTCATTAGGGTACTTGGACATTTGTCGGTATGAGGTAAGCCACTGAACAGAAAGTTAAAGTTAAGGAAAAGTTTAGGACATTTTAAAAACACTCTAGGAAAGGTGGCTTTGACTAAAAGCAGTCTAAAAGTAGGGAAAATGCAGGGGTTTCTGGATTATTCCAAGCTATGGACAGCAATCACCTGCAATGTGGTTAATATCAGCAAAAAAAAAAAAAAAAAAAAAAAAAAAAAAAAAAAAAAAAAAAAAAAAAAAAAAAAAAAAAAAAAAAAAAAAAAAAAAAAAAAAAGTAAGTGCGAATTTATGAAATAGTAAATGAATTACTAACTTACCTAATTGTTAGTAATTGGTATTCAAAAAGATACGGTACTCAAGGAAAAATCAGAATGAAAAGTGATACCAATTTCTAAACATGTATTACTTGAAACATGATAATACCATCAGCTAAGTGAATATAGTCAGGAGACACTTGATGGTAGATATTTTTAAATACAGTGCATTGAGATATAAAGATCTGAGGCTATACCAAGCAGAAACTAATTTGGTAGGTAGAAGCTAATAGAATTCTGGTTTTACTAACTCATGTTTAGGGAGGAATCTGGACTGGAGATAAAGATCTAAGAGTGTCCAGCATATTAATGACAGGTGAAATGTGAATGGAGTGACCATTATCTACAGAGAACTGTGAAATGGAATTTTAAAAGTGGAATAATTGGGCTGGCTCTTGGCAGAGCAGTGAAGAGCACTGTTTAAGAGAAACTGGACCCAACACGATGACTATAGTGCAAATTTCTGACTTGGTCACCCTGAAAAATACAGAGTGTACATGCAAGTGCCCAAGACCTGATGGGCTGGAGGAGTGAAGGAAGGGGATCAAGGCATGACTAGATTCTGTGGAAGGTGCTTGTTTCTCTTTCTCTCTTTCTCACTCATATGTGTATGTGCTCTATCATGAATAAAGAGGAAAAACAAAATGAATAGGGGGTCTAGGCTTCAACTACTTGAGCAATATTAATATTAATTGGGTAATTCATCACTTTTACTCTTTTTAAAATAATCTATGAATCTATAACTTTTATTCTGCTTCCTGTAAGTACATTACTTGGTAAGAAATAGTCCTGTATGTATGTAAAATTAATTATAGAAAATCTCATACATAAATGCATGAACACTCCCCCAAGTCACATTAGTACTTACAAACTCACCATCAAGAGGCAGAATTTCTGTTACATCATCTCGTTCCTTTTGTGTGAGCTTGATTCCCAGATATTCCAGGAAAGTGTCCAGGTTATTGATCGTAACTTTTCCTTCATAGGAAATACATAGGAATGGAATATGAGAAAAATTAGTTAAAAATATTAAAAATATTTTACATGAGAATTATATTAATATATATATTAATATATATATATATACACACACACATATAACTGAGTGCTTTAACATTACAAAAGAGAAAATGCACTTATGTAATTAATAGTTTTCTGTTTGAACTCCCATTTAACCTATCTCAGAACATTTAAAAATCAACACAAAAGTCAGAATTACAATCTCTTCCCTTAAACCTTAACTTGGGTATAAGTCTGGACTTTTTATTTTTTAAGATTTTTGCCATTAGGCTTGTGCACTCATCAAAGAGAGTGAGGGAGGGAAAACAAGAAATCACCCCCAAGGGGGATGGCCATGTCACAATCTCTTCCCCTTCATTCTTCTCTTGGGATTTTTGGGCACTCACTCACATTCACCCGGCATGATTCTCAAGCTGCTGTGTCTGGGACAAACCATGGTCAGCCAGGTGAGAGTCCAGCACTTTAACCACCATGCCATCTGCTGGCCCAAAGCCTGCACTTTAAATAGTCCTGACTGCCACTCCTCCCAAGGGCCTAGGAGTGTCTGGAGACAGACTTCTCTCTGCAAGAGAATCATTTCCCTAAATACCCAAGTGCCTGGGCTAATCATTTGTCCCCATCTGCCCTTCTCCCTTCTATTCTCTTGTTTCAAGAAGTAAGAGCAAGAAGAAGATGTAGTTTGTAGCTTGGCAATAAGTCCTTCACATTTCCTATTAGTAACTTGCTTTCAGTTAACGAAGTATATTGAAGCAAAATATTAAAAACATTTATTAGTGGATTGAAATTCTATTTAACATCAACCATTATCTGCCTCCATAATAAGTAGCCTAGAACAATTCTCAGAAAATTTGCCAACTTTTTTCTTTTTTACAGAGAGATTTTTTCTATAGGGCATGTGCACTTGCCAGAGGGACAGAAAACAAGAAATCTCCCCCTAGGGGGATGCCCACACTGTAATCTTTTCTCCTCCATTCTCTGCTTGGGATTTTAGACATGCATGCACACATGCCCAGCATGAGTTTTAAGCCACAGGGTCTGGTACTCGAATCATGGCTGAATACATAAGAGTCCAGCGACATAACCATTATGCCATCTTCTGGTCCCAGTCAATCCTTATCTTTACAATTTTCTACATATAATTATTTTCTGGGCTTTTAATATGTATTTTGTGGAAATATGTATCAAAACAGTATGTATTGAAATATTACGATAAAAGTAATTGATTAAACAAATCTACATATAGAAAGATATACTCACAATGTAAATGATAAATATGAATCTTAAATATTTTAGATCTTTCAGCCTTTCTTATCAGGTTTTTAATTTTTCTTTCATAGATTTCACACCATTTAACATTCTACTCTGAAACATTTTTCCAGCAGCTATCAGAAAGGAAGATCCATTTTAGAAGGAAAAAGGTGTGAGTTTGCTGGCCCCTCACTCAATTATATTTTAACACTAGTAAGACGATTATTTATAATTGGGTGAATAATGTGTTATATCTCACCATTAAATAAAAACAAATTGAGGGGCCAACCAAATGGCACAGTGGTTAAGGCAGCTGGATACCACACAGCTGACTGCTTGGTTTCGAGTCCTGGACCTGGTGGCTTGACCCAGCGTATGTCTGTGTGCTTCCAAATCCCAAGAAAACGGTGGATAAAGTTTTGTGGCATGGTCGTCCCACCATAGGGGTGGTGATTTCTTATTTTCTCTTTCTCACTCCCTCTCTCTCTGTCTCTCTTTGGCAAGCACAAGCATCCTATAGGAATTTTTTTTTTTACCTGAGTATGGGAAGAAAAATTGTCTCAGTGTGATAAACTATGCATAGGTTTGGCTGAGGAAACCAGCAGCAGAGGAAAACACAATTGCATTAAAACATTTGTTGGGACCAGCAGATGGCGCAGTGGTTACCTCGCTGGACTCCCACAGAGCCAACTGTGCTTCTAGTCTAGGACTCGGTGGCTAGAAACTCATGCAGGGCATGCGTGCATGCCCAAAATCCTGAGAAGAAAATGAAGGAGAAGGGATTGTGGCACGGCCATCCGCCCCTAAGGGGCGATTTCTCACTTTCTATCTCTCTGTCTCGCTCTGGTGAGTGCACATGCCCTAGAGAAAAAAACCTGTCTTAAAAAAAAAAAATCACTTCTTTCTTTCTTTTTTCTTTTGACTTCTTTTTATAAAGTTTTATATTCATCTCCATAGTTCCCTCCCTTTTTTCACTCAGAATTTAGGTTGATGAGTTGCCTTCATGGGTAATGTTGATTTTTTTTCTTTCATTTATATATTTTTACATTTTTCCACATTTACTTTACATATCAAAAAATTTTAGCTCATACTCCATAGTTCTTGACAGTTTATAAACAACTTAAAAAATTTCAAAATACTGAATTTTAAAGATAATGTTCAAAATATTTCTTATAATTTTGTATAATTTTATGACTCTATAACAACAGAAGCAGTATGGTTTCAAACATATATATATATATATATATATATACATTTAGAGTGCAGACACTTGGT